TTGCACGCTATCTGAAACGCGCCTCTCTCTATGTGCACGTGCTTTGGGTGTGTGCGGCTGTGCGCACAGATAACAGTTTGCGAGTACAGAATTAAATTCCCTTTTGCTTCTTCTAGCACTGGAATGGTTTAAAATATACTGAATGTGTAATGTAGCAAGACAAAACACGTGCAAATTATAAACTTTCAGTCTATGGCGGTTAAACTTGAAAAGAATCTGCGAATCACATGCGTGCTGAACCGTGGGGCCTCGTCCATACGGATCACGGATCCGCAATGATACGTTTAACCCCTAGTTGCATAATAATTAATTTAGTTAATTATGTAAACAAAACTATTGGTTTTATTGAAGAACATACGGTTCTTGAAACCTCTAAAATAGCTAAATTAATCGTGGTTACTTAACTTTAAGGGATAGTTCAGGTCACACAAAAATGTCAATTCTGTCATCATTTACTCACCCTCAAGTTGTTCCTGTATGTATTTCTTTCTTCTGCTGAACACAAAAGAAGATATTTTGAAGAATGTCGGTAACCAAACAGTTTCTGGTCCCCATTGACTTCCATAGTATTTTTTTTCAATGGGGACCAGCAACTGTTTGGTTACCAAAATTCTTCAAAATATCTTCTTTTGTGTTCAACAGAACAAAGAAACTCAGACAGGTTTAGAACAACTTAAGGGTAGGTCCATACCGTTCTCATCCCAAGGCGTCATATACTGACGCTTTTGACATTTCGTCTACATCCAACGCACATGGGCCAGATATGGGCCAGAAGGCGCCTCCTAGCGGTCTAACCCTAACCCTACCCCAGACCTAAACCTACCCATATCTATCTGCGTCTCATATTGACGCTAAAGGGTGCCATGTGCGTTGGATGTAGACGAAATGTCAAAATATGACGCCCTAGGATGAGAATGCGTTGGTAGGTCAGGGTACGTTTACATGACAACAATGTACTAAAAAAGGAAAAGTTTTTCCTTTCCTTTTTTTCGTGTTCAGACGATAACATTGTCAAAACGATCCCTGTTCACAAGAATTCGCGAAAACCAGTAGTTGGCGATGTCACTTTGTAAAGGAACACTACGCGGCTATAGACTGAACCGAACACATAATACGCATGCATGACGTCACCGTTTTCACATATTTACGTTTTTGTAGTTTACACGGAGAGATAGCCTAACAGTAGTTTTCAAAAACTTGCACTTTGAAACCCTATTTCAAAAGCTTGCATTTTCATGCTGCCAAAGCGCCATTGTCGTGTATATGAACAGCCAAAATGCATAAAAAGCTCTCCGTTTTTAGTTGAAAACGGTGTAAACGGGCCCTAAATGATGACAGAATTTTCATTTTTGAGTGAACTATCCCTGTAACACTTTAACATTCAGTCAAGCCAGTCACGCTTTAGACGCGGCCGAGAACGCGTATATTCAGATCATTCAAACCAGTTATCCGTTCTGGTTTCAGAGTACTATAACATCAAATCGATTTTTTTTTTTAAATAATCTCAAATTGCTGCTGTAAGCCCGTCTAAATCTGCCTTTCTTAGTTACTGTCTTTCCGCGTGGCAAAGTAATTTAATTCCATTTAAGCTTTTATCTGACTCCATTTTATCACGACCCCGAATTTACCGGTAGGCTAGATTGCCCAGTTGGTTATTGGTCAATTATATAATAGTTTAGCAATACATTTGATTATTCTATTTAACTCTTTTACTTTATATTTTACTTGTTTATTAGGAATCTATGTCTCAGAGAGTCTCGCGCCGGCCGTATTTATACCAGAGGTTATGGCTAAAGCAGTTCAACAATGCCGCCGCACACGCTTGCTATATTGTTAAAAAGTACCCATGTAGCCACCTACAGTCGCCCATATAACAACTTAGTTAAAGCCCAAACAATAACCAGAGGTTATGGCTAGTACATTAAGATAATGCCGCTCCAAACGCTGCTATTATCTCAATAGTATTTTTATCTAGCCACCTATTTGTGACTGCATAACAACTTAAAGTCAAGCAGTTCGTCAGGAATCTAGAATCCCACCAGATGTGCCTCACGCTCCATCTAAACTGGGGTCTAGTATGTACTTAACCCTGGACGCAGATTTGCGGAAACATAAGACTTCGCTTAATCTACTTGAGAAAGTAATTCAGAATAAAATCAAATGTTTACAATTTATTATGTCAGGTAAATGTATCATGCCAATTTCTTAATCAATTCAAAGATAAGAAATATACAAAACATCAAATACTCTGGAATAAAGAGAGAAGATGCGAACCTGCATACACTCCGCATCACAGGCTAATTTGAGTTACAAATCGCCCTGAGTGAGCCTCGTGTTGCATTTCTTTATATAGACAGAAACTTCTTTCACACGGAAACATTTGCTGACAATGGGAATTTGCATTCAGAGTTTACACCTTTTGGGAGCAGAATGCCATTTGCTTGGAAGAAACACCCTCGTCTGTGTGCAAGTTATCTCTAAACCCTTAAGAACTTTATTACCTTTTGGTTTACTTCTTTGGGGATGAGACATTTGCACCAGTCGCACTGAGACATTTCAAATGATACCAAACATGTATAATACTGTATGATAATTATTCACATTAAACCATGAATTTTGGTGATCTCAGCATGAGAGAGAAGGATTGGGGGAAGAGGGAAAGAGATGTATTCTGAGGTGAGACTTCACAAGAGAGAGTTCAAATGTTAATTTCCTTTGTTTTCTCAGAGAGTTGCCATCTCTTCCAGTTCTTCCAGTTTTTCCAGTCTTACACTGCTAATTATTTTCTTTCTCAGAGGCATATGCAGCTGTAACCTAAACATAAATGGTCTACATCTGCCATATTTACAATTCTTAAATTGGTTTAGAGCTTTTTGGATTCAACCCACTTTATTTTCCTAATTTGTTTGAGATAAAATGATATTACATATTAATAAATTGTATTTATACAATTATTTTATTAACAAGTGTCATGTTTGTGATTTTCATTTGTCAAGTAGCCAGCTTCTGCCCATGAAATGCTGATTTTATTAAATTCATTTTATTTATTCAGGTACAGAATTAACATGTTGTGTATTTTACATTTTTTTTTCGTCAGCATTGGAAATTCCAACAGCCTTCCTTCGTTTGACAGACGGCACATTTTTATACGAGCTTCAGAGATTTTCAAGGCATTATATTTTATATTTATTATATTTATTAAAAAGTGTCATGTTTTTTTGTACTTCGTTATAAAGACTTTTTAGATCGATACTTGATCAGCAAGCAATATTCAGAAATGTGTGCAGTTGTAGGCCAGCTATTATTTTTCTGATGAACTTTTATTGGTGAAGACAAAATTACAAAAATAAGGATGAATGATGTTTGAGAGGTAACACGTCTTATTCTTACCAATAGTAATTTAATAATATGAATATAATAGATTTAATGCACCTTTTTGAACAACAGCGAAACGGTGCTTTAACGGGAGCAACGCCATGAACACAGAAGTTGACAGAACATATGAATTTTTTTCAATTCTGTCATGTGTGATATAGGGGTGTGAATCGTCACTGGTCTCACGATTCAATTCGATTACGATTATTGTGTCAACGATTTGATTCGTTATCACAATGCAGTACAATGCATCACGATGCGTTGTATTTCTGCAAATTTTCGGCGATGAATACAAGCAGTCAGATATATGAACACCCTTTTTATTTGATCTGCTCCAAGAATGTACACTTCCTGAATGTACTATAGTCAAACAAAACATACAGTAAGTCTGAACACAGCAGCATGAAACTGTCAAGTAGTGTGTTTACAATAACGCTCACACCCGCACGCACGCACATGCTCACACACACACTCGCAGGCTGTCCCCTATTGCCAAATCATACACAACCATACAGCCTGCGCATACTCACACACTCACACACACACACACACATACATACACACTCTAGTTGTTTCTGTTGAAAGGAAAGGTTACTGTTTTTCGCGATATTTGAAGTATTGACATATAATTTTTACGCTAAAGTTAGGTTAAAGATTGTGTCGACATTTGCAAAAAATTATCGATAATTGGCATTTCCATCTGCTATATTGGTAAACATTTTAATGCGCTAAACCTTCTCTTTTTTTGTTGCCAAAAAGTCCTAGGATGGAAACACGGATAATAAGACCCTAAATAATCACCCTAAATGTTTTCTACCCCCAAGGGTAATTTCAGAGGCCAGTAGTTCTCTCTCTCTTTGTGTGTGTGTGTGTGTGTGTATTTTCAAGAGCATGACTTGTAAGTCTGTCTGTAATGTGGCTGGAATTTGCAGTCACTGAAATTACAGTAAATCCTGGAGGATAAACTCTTCTCATTCCTCAGTTTGAGGAAAACTGTTTTCCTGGGTACGACGAATGCTTTCTCTACATTTTTGGCCTCAAGACGGCAAGCTTTTGATTACTCTCTTGTACGCTCCTTTTGTGTTTTTCCATTAAACAATTATATGAAAACAAGGTATGATTACTTCATATTATCTTACAGGTTCAAAGTTTTCCAGCTGTCATGATCTCTCGAAGGCAATGTGCATTCAGGAATAATAGCATTGATTACCAGATGTATGGAAGAATGAAAAGTGATTGGAGACTAAAAAAAAGGATTTCTGGAAAACAGTTGTTATTGTTGTTTGACTTTGTCTGTAGTTTGTTAAAATGCCTTTTCTCTTATGTCATCCTCATGTTTCTTTTCTCTCTTTCTCCTAAATATTATTGTGTTTTGACAGGTTATTACTAGGGCTTATTCATTTAATATTACATAGGCTGCTATATTATGAAAATGCTATAATATTTAATAATTAATATATAGAGTGGATTTTTTTCACACTCATGTGGAATGTGTGCCAAAAAATTCTGTGTTTATGTGTTTTAACCATGGATAGAGACTGAAAAATAAAAGTAAATAGCCAAATTACAATGGTTGTAATTTGCATTGAGTTTATCTTATTTGTTTCTCTCTTTATCTCTCATAGGAGGAGGAGGGAAACGGAATGGGCGGAGCAAGAAATGGAAGGAGATGCTCAAACTGCCTCATATCAGTCAGTGTGAGGAACTTAGACGCACTATTGGTAAGATAGATGTATGAAAGAGTGCATACAGAAATGAGCTTTGGCAGAATATATATTTCAAGTAGGGCTGGCAATCAATAAAACTACATAACTAACTACATAAATATTTGATGAGATATTCAATCAATTCAAACACATTAGCCTACATTATTGTGGCAAGTGTGTAAATCATTGAACAGACATTACAAAACAGTGTTAAAAGTCAAAATATAGTTGGTTTTATTTCTGCATCATTGAACATAAGCCTATCACTGGCCTATGCAGGCACATTGCATGTGGACTCACAAAAACGTGGGACTTTAATGTTGAATTGATCTGATGGTTGGAAAATCCCTCAAAACAGAATTTAGATAGGGGTTAGGGGGGCATGAATAATTCACTTTTTTTATTTAGTTAATTGCACTAAATTGACAGCCCCAGTTTCAAGGTATTAAAAATACCAATTTGTTTGTAATTGTATACATACAAACATTCCTAGTCATGCAAGGACCAGGTGCAGTCTGGACACCCTCTGATCACGTTTTTTTTTTTTTTTGGTGGTTAAAATCAAATTATGCAAGCTAAATCCTCTCTCATTAGTGCTGTTTGATGTTATTTAAGCATTGCCCTGATAGGCTGGCTGATACCTAGAAACCTTTTTTAGCATAAATGTTAGATTTATCTACATCAACTTGAGGAACTTGAGTTCTAATATATATTTTTTTTAAAACGCATATCAGATTTATAATGTTGGCCATTATCAGCCAATAAAATTCTGTCATCCTTTTTTATATTAATGCACTGATTTAAATAATTAATTGATTCCATTAAATTAAGTTAAATATTTAGTTGCAGATGCAATTGTTCGGTAAGTGTCATCCATAAGTAATTAATTCACAATACTTGTTGCCAATATTTACTTGTTGCTTGTACCTTAAATGTAGTACATATTAAAATATTTATTTATTATTATTTTGTGGTTCTCTAAACAAAGCATACTTACTAGTGTATTCCTCGTTAAAAGGTTTACATGGTTTAGAATGTTTCTGTCAGTTAAAAATGCATGCTGGTGTGTGGGCAGGTGTGTGTGTATGTGTTTGCGTCAGACAGCTGTAGACCTTGGCTCACTGAGGAAGTCCTGGCTGTTTCCTCTTGGCCCAGAATGCACCAGGCCTATAACGTTCCAGAGAGTCCTGCAGCAAAGGGCTCAGCTTGAGCGCTCTGCTCAGCATCACTGTGATTTAGTGCTGTGGCTGTATGCTGAGTTTTGCACTTTTTGTGTGTATATAGAGGAAATATTTCATAAAAGGGGTCATATATCATGTATTAAAACATTTTATTTTTTCCCTAAGGTCTACAAAAATGTAATTGAAGGGCTTTGCACCTCAATCAGTCAGAATTATGTTTTTCAGGATTTTCCATCCTGCCTGGCACATTCCATGAATGCAGTACAGTTTTGTGTCTGGTGTCTTTATTTCTAAATTAGAGGCACAAATGTCATGTTTAATCTGAGACCTATTAGATATGTCGAGAAATTATTATCTAACATAAGATTTACATAGTATTAAAAGTATCTAATTTCAAATATATATGATAAATGTCAAATGAGGTTTCTGTTTTCTTCCTTTACTGAGTCCGTGGCCATGTTTACACCTGGTATTTAGATGCATTTTGGTCGATCCGATCATAAGTGAACGACGCTAAATACAGGCGTAAACAGGGTCTAAAACGTTTGAGCTTGTCCCTTTCAACCACTTCCAAAGGTAGTCAAAAGCACATTTGATTGCACACCGGATTGTTTTTGTAGTGTCGATGCTCATGTGGTAGAATGCGTCCGAACCTGCGGGCCCGCGTCAGGGGGGGCCCCGCTTGTTGGAGGGCCCCGCGAAAACCCCCGTGCCAGGTTGTGCCGATAGACGATGATCAGCTGATAGACGCGATAGACGATGATCATAAGATGATCAGCATCAGCTGACCTAATAAATTAGGCCTATTATTATTACTTTTATTATAAAATTAATAGGCTATTAGCTACAATTCAATTTTTATAGCACATCACCCCATAACCGATGAGCTGCGAGGAAAATGATTAGTTAGATTAGCTTACTCCTCATTTCAAAAACAACTACTTCTCTTCAAAAAATGTTCACTACTTATGGGCCACAAGAGAAATATTAAGAAAACAAATTAAGACAGTTATAGGCCTACTGTTATCAGCACGTTAAAGCAACACCAAGTAACTTTTCCTCTGCGGTCGCCCTACAGGTTGGAAGCGGAATTGTCCTCATTAGAACTACAGAAACGCGACCCGATCTGGCAATTTCACATAGCGTGGATATACCAGATAAAGGACCGCAATGCGGTGGCATAAGTGCATTTCACCATGTCACGACTTGATGAACCACTGAAACGATTTTGGAAACATTATTTGAAGGTAAAAAAAACTTACTTAGTGTTGCTTTAAAGTAGATTCAGCTCTCATCGCCTCTGAGAGCATATGAACCATTGATGCAGCGTCATAATTGACTGGGGTTTCAGACTTCTCCACCGCCATAACTCTAGAGCAAAGTTTACACATTGCTTGTGTGATATCCACTGACTCGCCTTCATGGTTTACACTGTAAATATTTCCAACATTGTGCAAAAAATTCCTTTATTAACAATTGCTCGCAAAATGACAGACAGAGATTTCGATTTTGCATGCGTCATTACGCTAAATTAAGGATTTTAACGATAATTAACTCCCAAACCTAACTGAGAAAATAGAGAAATAGTCCTCAGATGCCATGTCTGTAATTTATATGAAAACATCTAGCGTTAATTCGACCTCAAACAGTTTAATTAAAATAAGTTATTACTCCAACACCTGCGTGACATCATTAACCAGCATGGTTAAACGACCACTTTGCGACAATATGGTTTTGAGAAACAGTTGTGACTAGCTGGTTGATTTCTTCAACGATGCATTGTACTATGGTAGAGAAGCAGCGAGTTAGGTCGTTGTACGGGAAACACACCCCTGGTTGATGTTTCAGACTGCAGTTTAGGCAGTGGTCACATGGTCAGTCTGATGTTGAGATGACATATGAGTTACATGTCAAAACATCTCAAGGGCCCCAAAAACACCTCAGACCCCAGAGAGTTAAATCGCTTACGGTGCGTGTCCACTGGCGCAGAGCGAGCGTTTTCAGTTCATTCCTATGGAAGCTCCTGTAAGGTTTTCCTGACGGACAAAATCAAGACATTTTTTCTTGTTCAAGAAGCCGTTTCCCTCAGATATACATCACAATAGGGAAGAAAAGACTATCGCAACTACCCATCTCATGCTGACTTTAAAGATTATAGATGAGGAAAATCATGTGACGATGATAGGTTTAACTGTCTTTCTCTTGTCTCTCTGCTTATTTAATGCTCTCAGAGAGGGATTACACTAGCCTTTGTGAAAAGCAACCAATCGGTCGTCTGTTGTTTCGGCAGTTCTGTGACACTCAGCCCAAATTACAACGGTGCATAGAGTTCCAGGATTCTGTGGTATGAAATCTCTTCACAAACATACACATACTCACTCTGCACCTCTCTTTAACCTCTCTATCTTTGTCTTTTTCTCTCAGACTGCCTTTGACATACACATACAATCGAAATCTATGTCAAAGATCGAATTGTTCTCTCACCTTCTCTTTAATGGAACACATATTTTGTGCACCCTTACTGATTGTCATATGTGGTTTTCAGCAAATTCATTTCAGCATTATTTGTGTGTGTTTGTTTAGGCAATATATCAGTTGGCTGCGGATGAGAAGAGGAGAGACGTCGGTTTAAATATTTTAGACACATATTTTATTAATGGGGTAAATATTTGTTCAAATTTTTGCTCGCACGCACCTGTTCTTACACTCTCCTATGTGCACGTGTTCATTGAAAGAATTGCTGAATTAATGATTGAACTTTAAACTTCTCTTTTTTTTAATGACGCACTATCAACCCCTCTTCCTGTTTACTCTCCCTCTTTTTCATTCTGTCTTCCTCATGTAGTCAGCAGCTCATCTACCAGAGATCGCTCAGGATGTTGTTGGGGAATGCAGGCAGAAACTAGAACAGACTCCATGTAGAGAGCTGTTCCAGGAGTGTACCAGGTAAATAACACATTTATTTAATAATAAGTAAAAGAAGTTCACTTGGCAGTCATCTACAGTAGGCGACAGCTATTTTGCAGGAAACAGCATTCTAAAAACGCAGCACTCAAAATGAGCAGCAGCTCATTTGCATTTTAAAGATACACACGAAAACGGCGTGTTTTTGCTTCCAAACAAAAAGAGGTGTTTTGGGTGTGGTATAACAAATGATCTGTGGGGTATTTTGAGCTGAAACACTTTCTGGGGACACCTAAGACTTAAATTACATCCTGTAAAAGGGGGCATAATATGTCCGCTTTATTACATTTTAAAATGTAATTTAGTCCTGTGATGGCAAAGCTGAATTTTCAGCAGCCATTACTCCAGTCTTCAGTGTCGCATGATCCTTTTTAATATGCTGATTTTGTGCTCAAGAAACTTCTTATTATCAGTGTTGAAACATTTGTGCTACCTAATATTTTTTCTGGAATCCGTGATACACTTTTTCAGAATTGTTTTGATAAAAAGAAAGTTCAACAGCATTTATTTGAAACAGAAATTTTTTTTGTAACATTATAAATGTTACTTTTTTAATCAATTTAATGCATCGTTTTTGAATAAAAATACTAATTTCCTTTCTGACCCCAAAAAGGGTAGTGTGTATTCCAAATCAGCTAGCTCAAATCATTCTTAATAAATAGTATTTTATTAATACTATTTAGTAATAATTAAGGATTAAGATATTTCCAGCTATGCTGGAATACTAACATACAGCTTACTACCTACTGCACTGTTCACATTACCGTTCAAATGTTAAGACATGCTTTTACTTTATTCTGCTCATGATCTTAAAAAATTGCTACTAAATAACTTGGTCTGTTTGTCACACAAAGCTGTTCTGACTTCAGAAGATACAGCACACAATGGTGCTTTCATGGATTTTTTTTTTTTTAGCACAAAAGCACCCGTCCACATTCGCTTTAATTATATTCAATTGAGTGTCCAAATTATTATTTAAAAAGACTACCTTTTGTATTTTATGAAAGAAGGGATGTGTTAAAGGCTAATCAATGGCCTGACTTTTCATTTTTGGTTGAACTATTCCTTTAAGTTTAATCAATAGGCTGGTCCATTTTTTAATGGTTTATTTGGTTTATGTAAAGCCTGAAGTGGAATCAATAGTTTATCCACCTCACTTTTAGTTGTGGATCTCAGTTTGTGGTTTTCACTGGTGTTAGTGTGAAGACCTACGGTATTAGAATGAACCATTCGCTGTAGCCACGCTGTTTGTCTGAGTAACGTAAACACGTGACTTTAAATCTAAACAGAGTTTTGTGTGTTTGTGTTTAGCCTCAGTCAGTCTTTTAGTTCTGTTTAGTTTAAGCTTCCTTTCTGTTTGAGAGGGGGTGAGGTGGAGTACTTTAACCCTTCCTGTTAAATCTCTATGGGCACAGAGTTTGTTAAAGTATGTGTTGCTGTATGTAAGTGTGATAGCGTGTGTGTTACATTAGAGGGGAAAATGGTATGGGCTGCATGAAAAATATCCGGCTCATCTCCAATAACACTTGTACACGTCATCATTCGAGATGCTACTAAGGTCCCATTAGTTAACATCACTTAATGCATTAGTTAACAATGAGCAACACATTTTTTACAGTATTTTTTGTTCATCTTTGTTGATGTTAGTTAATCAAAATATAATTAAGTATTATATTAAGTATTATTATTTTTCCGTGTTGTGTCATGTTAACTAATGTAGTTAATGTTAACAAATGGAACCTTATTGTAAAGTTTAAAGTATTGTAATTTAAAAGTGCCTCAGTTTTCAAAACATGGCCTCTCAGGACCAAGTTGTCTTGTTTGGACTGTTCATTTCAATTAACAAGTTCTTGCATGACGTTGCATTTTTTTAGCAAAATAAATATTTAATTTATTGCTGTTTTGAGTTCTGTTATTTATTTATTTATTTATTTAAGTAGCTTTACTGTCATTTAACTACTTGAAATAATGAACAGTTTGTAGCAACACAAAAAAGTATTATGGCAGTACTAGGTACATGATGGTTACAGAGGGTAGATACTGTATAATTGCCATATTCATGTATCATGGCATTTGTACTTATCTACATTTTCTCAAACATCCCTTCTCTTTTTTCAGGATAGTTCGTGAATATTTAAGTGGAGGTCCATTCTCAGCATATCAGGAGACAATGTACTTTTCCCGTTTTCTTCAATGGAAGTGGATGGAGAGGTGAGTAACATCTCCATCGGCCTTTGTGATTGGTGGAGCTGTTCAGACTTCCTGTCCAGTCAGGACTAATAATTAACACACGCAACTAAACAATCTTGCTCTAACAAAAGGACATTTGAAATCATTCATTCATATTTTTTCATGGATTTTCATATTTTTACAGTAAAATATACAAGTTTCCATGTTTTAACATGACCTTCATACAACAAAACAAAATGTTTGCTTTAATAAAAATCATCCTTAGTTGTGAAGAAATGTCCTTATGTTGCATCATGTTCGATTTCTGAAATTGTTTTGTGCAGTGAATTGACTTGAACTGTATTTCATTTGCAGGCAACCAGTAACCAAAAACACATTTAGACACTACAGGGTATTGGGCAAGGGCGGATTTGGTGAGGTGAGTAATTTCATTCAGTCACTGTCAGATCAGTTTTTAAAGAATTTAACATGACTTAATAAGTCTATATATTTTTTTAAGAAATTATGTGTGCAGTATTTAGGACCTTTTTAATTGAGAGACTCAATGGAAGAATTTTCCAGTTACAGTTAAAAAAAATACTTTGTTACACAGCATGACTATTAAAAGGTGCACTCAGTTATTTTTTGCTAATTGAAAATGTTTTACATATGTAGAGATGAATAGCACTTTAGAGAAATAACGTTGACAGGGCTGAACACTATGGATTTTTCCTAGTGGACAGTGGTTAAAATTGGCCCCACCACACAATACATTAATACATTAAAATAGTTTTTTTTTTTATCTTGTTGCAGTTGACTCATGCAACATATAAATAAGGTTATGACACCAGATTTTAGTGAAATTTCACAATTCTAGATTTCAATTTTATTACTACAGCTAAAACTACAAGTAAACATTCAGTAATAAAATAAGAACAAATTATCAAATTTTAAGCAATAGCACAAAAATAAATACAATAGATACAAATGAAATAAAGGTTAAGCTTTTTCAGGAAGGTCTAACAGTCGTTTTCAAGTACAGAAATTGAATAAAGTAATCAAATGCAAAAGTCTTCACAGTATAATTTAATACTTTATTAAAGTTATATTTTCTTATTAAAGTTAAAGTTATATTCAGTCAAGAGCAATGAGTGATTTTTTTCTTTGCCTTTTGTTTGATTAACATAAAAAAAAACCCAGAAAACACCAGGAATATTAGGCTGCTGTCACTTTAAGACCTAATATCTGGATCCAATATAGTGTTACACATGCGTTTTTTTTTCTCAACTGTTAACGATCACTTAAGACATATTTACGAGGATACTCACCAAGGCGGCTTTTTGACATAATTTTAAAGAGAACTCAATTCAGTATCGGCACGCTGTCTGGCGCGCTTTTTTTTACACACATCCGAATGCCGCGTCAGACAGCATGTCACACACATTTTGCGAGAACCGAATTTAGTTCTTTTTCTTGTCTTCTTGCGCTTGAATATTTAAATCGGCAAGACTTAAACACATGCAAATGATACACTTTCATGACGATGCAGCACTGGCCCGATTGGGCAAGTGACATGTCCGCCTACTGTCCCGAGCGTCGTTCATGCTGCCCCCAGGCCCCAGTCTGTATTGTCGAGTCGAAGTGTTACTTTCAATAAAAGTGCAGTTATTTTATTTTATTGGCTTGTATTTTTTTAAGTTCAGTATCATTAAAATGATTGAATTTCATTAAAAAGACTAATATTATTAAAAAGCAATTTCGATTTCGGTTTTTGGCCAAGTGCATACAGAATTTTTGGTTTCGGTTTGGGCCTAGAATTTTAATTTCGGTGCATCACTAAAAATAATAAGAATGTGTGCACATTTAAGTGAACTGTAAAAGGTGATTAAAAATAATAAATGTCTTTTTCTGTGCCATTTTGCTTTCTCCATCCTTTCAACCAGGTTTGTGCCTGCCAGGTTCGTGCCACTGGTAAGATGTACGCCTGTAAAAAGCTGGAGAAGAAACGGGTGAAGAAAAGAAAAGGTGAAGCAATGGCATTAAATGAAAAACGCATTTTAGAAAAAGTTAACAGTAGTTTTGTAGTAAGTACTACTTTCTTTTTATTCCTCATTTTTTACTTTTCTCTTAACCTGACGTCTCAGTTGCATGTTGGTCTTGTCTGTATTGTTTGTGCAATAAACGTTTGACTCACTCTCTCTGTGATTCAGTTTCCGTGAACTTCTCAACAGAGTTTTAGGGAAAATCTGCTATATTTTCCAGCTTAATGGCAAATCTCGACTCCATTTGCATTTATCATGGGTAGTTGAGCTAAATCTGGTCCAGAGTAGTAGTTCACAACCAATTGCTCTGAATTGAATCATTTACCTCCTGACTAGCTAAATCACAGAGAGATGGTTTAAAACAGCTTTAATTTGGCTGTGGTTCCAAATATCAGCCATAAAAATTATTTTAATATTTGCTGTGTAAAAAGAAGAATTTAAGCTATTTTCATGGTAAACAGATATTCAAACTAAGGATATCTCACAAAGCAGTCCAATTTCTCCATTTAAAATGTCTTAAATAAAGATGTCTACGGTTTGAACCAAACCAGTCCGCTCCAAGATGATTTTAATATTGACTTTTGATTCAAAATAAAATAGTATTTAAAAGTGTGGAAAACCATTCCTTTAAGCCTTTTTACATAATCTTTTTGAATTTGGTCACGCAGTAAACATTCTAGGAACTCAAAAAATGAACCATTCTAGCACCTCAAAAACGATATTGAAAAGAGAACAGCCAGCCGAACATGTGTACAGACAAAGCACACAGTGCCTGCAGTGTAATGTCGGCCTCTGATTCATTCCACTACAGCTGTAGAGCACCTGAGCCTCTGTCCACCCACCCACACACTAACACACAAGCTTGCACACACACACACACACACACACACACACACACACACACACACACACACACACACACACACACACACACACACACACACTACGCCACATACAGGTGAGTTGTGCTTAGCATTGCAGCTAGTGCAAGTGTCTTTTAGGTATGTAAAGTACATCTAAATTTAAAAGAAAGATGGTATATGTGTGTGTATGTGTGCGCAAGAGTATGCGTCTGTGTGAGTCTTTGTGCGTATTCATGCTACAGGCAGGCACGATTGCTCCTCATGAACTACTTCACAAATGAGAACATCTCTGTTGCCTAGCAATGCTGACCAAACAGCAGCTTTAGAGAGCAGAGTCAAGTGCTCTAAACCCTAAACCCACACACACACTCTCTCTCTCTCTCTCTCTCTCTCTCTCTCTCTCTCTCTCTCTCTCTCTCTCTCTCTCTCTCTCTCTCTCTCTCTCTCTCTCTCTCTCTCTCTCTCTCTCTCTCTCTCTCTCTCTCTCTCTCTCTCTCTCTCTCTCTCTCTCTCTCTCTCTCTCTCTCTCTCTCCTCCCTCCCTCCCTCCAGCCCCAGAGTTCATTCAGTATGTATAAACAGACTCATGTTTAAAAGTTGGGGACGACAAGTAAACTCTAACAGAATAAAGTGACATAATACCGTGACTAATATGAGCTGCGTGTGATGGGAAACAGCTTTTATTCTATTCACCGTTTTTCTGACTGCGTCACCATGCTATTAATATGTACACTTTAAGCAGTAAGGCTACTGATTACTATTTATGAATAATATATAGATCAATATTCATGTAGTTATTTTATATATTGTTTAAAATTCTTTTGTATATATTTGATAAAAAATACAGTAAAAAAATGTCAATATTTTATTTTATAAAATGATATATAAATGGGTAAAACTTTACAAAAAAGTTTAATTTACAATAAGGGTAAAAACTTTACAATAAGGTTTCATTTGTTAACATTAGTTAACTACATTAATTAACATACGATAAACTATTTTGTATTATGTTGTAACTTCTTAATTGTCACTTCTGGTCAATTTAATGCATCATTTATATATGCATCATATATATATTTACAGAGCTCGAAGTGGGCCGGTATTTTATTATTTAGCGTACCTTCACTTTTTCTTGCGTACCGGCACTTTAATACTTATATAGTGTGTGGCAGTACCATTGTACAGTTATGGTATTGTCATGGTGTTGATATATTATCATGCTGTATACATGGTACAGTATTTACATGGGAGTCCAAAGTAGTTGGTGATACCAATGTACAACGTTTTTTGATGACTCATTTTTTTATTTCAGATTTAAAATCAGCACTATTTACATGATAATTGAGCAGATTGCTTTACATTGTAGTTTGTAACCATTCAGATATGCTCCCATGGGGGTTATGTTTCATGTAATGATGTAAAGGGTTATTTGATTGTCCTTGTGGTCTCATTGAGTAGCAGGTTTTCACAGTAACATCAGCTTGTTGGTCTTAATTCACAGCCCTTTCCCGCATCTGTCTACATTTGAAACCTAACCACCCACAATGTTGGGTGTAACCGCTGAGATATGAGAACCCCTCCTTAACACAGCGGTTTTCAACTTCTGCAGTGGTTCTCCTCACACGTCACTCAACAGATCACAGAGGATGTGCTGGTGTAAAATGATAATTCACTGCAATAGATGGACTGTAGCCCTTCTAGACAGGCTTGCTAAGTTAACATAAACTACAAACTCCATTTGTAGTTTATACTGGCATAACCTTGTGGAGTTTTGAAATGTGCTGTATTACAGGTGCCAGTCACCAGATGATTTATGTGAAAGTGCTTGAAAAACATTCTAATGAGCTACATGGGCCTGTTTCACATGCACCTCAAAGTTTCATGTATCCTTTCTTTATGCATAGATAACAATGCACCTCTTTTTCTCTCTTTTATTTCCCCTAGGTTTGTTTGGCATATGCATATGAGACTAAGGACGCTCTATGTTTAGTGTTGACTATAATGAATGGCGGTGACTTGAAGTTTCATATCTATAACATGGGAAACTCTGGTTTTGATGAACAGCGTGCCATCTTTTATGCAGCAGAGATCTGCTGTGGCTTAGAGGACCTGCATCGAGAGAGGATCGTCTACAGGTGTGTTTAGTTTTCTCAACGCTCACATTCTAACATATTTACATCCGTTTTGCAAAATTCTGCCGATTTTCCACAAATTTTCCAGCATATACATGATAAAGTCCACAGATTCTGTCTAGTGATAACTTTTTGGGACTTTTTTCCTAGTGTTTTGCATGATAAATATAGCTAATTTTGAATGGTCAGGCATAGCAATGTTAGGCTGCGAGATTTGAATATATTTAAATTGTGATTATTTTTTTTTAAAAAAGAAAAAAAGTAAGGCCTTACTTTCCATCAATATTGGCAGGCATCATTTTCTATGCAAAATATATAAACAAATTTCTTCTTTTTTTTATGCCTTTTTTTAAAAGCAGGCAGATTGAGGAGACAGTTCGTATGGAATTACCTGGTCAGTGCTAGAAATAGAGCAGGATTATTATGCAAGCTTTCTGTCAAGTTACTTGGTCAATTACATCCGGATTTAAACCATGTATTAGCTGGCCAGATTATTAAACATAAGGCTACCGCTCCCCATATTCACTACTGTTCAAAAGTTTGAGGTCAGTACGATTTTTTTCAGAAGAAATTAGCATTTTTATTCAGCAAGGACACATTAAATTTATCAAAAGTGACAGTAAAAACATTTATAATGTTCGTTAAGATGCTGTAAATGCTGTTCTTTTGAACTTTATATTTATGAAAGAATCCTCATAAAAATATATCATGGTTTCCAGAATACATTAAAGGGATAGTTCACCCAAAAATGAAAATTAGCCCATGATTTACTCACCCTGAAGCCATCCTAGGTGTATATGACATTTTTCTTTCAGACGAATACAATCAGAGTTATATTAAAAAATGTCCTGGCTCTTCCAAGCTTCATAATGGTAGTGAATGGTGCTCCACACGGCTCTGACGGCATAATAAAGGCCTTCTGAAGTGAAGCGATGCGTTCGTGTAAGAAAAATATCCATATTTAAGACTTTTTCGGCTAAAATAACTAGCTTCCGGCAGACGGCCTATGCAAGTCGACTTACGGCAAAACAGGAACACTTGAGGATGTATGACGTAGGATGTAGGAGTAGCGTAATCTTTGACGCCTCTCGCGGTTCAAACAAACAGGGCTTGGCAACCGCGTTCGTCATTACGTTGTGCGGCAAGTTCAAGGGTTCGTTTTTCGCCGTAAATCGATGCGTACGGCCGTCTGCCGGAAGCTAGTTATTTTAATCGATAAAGTCGATAAACACGAACGCATCGCTTCACTTCAGAAGGCCTTTATTATCCCGCCAGAGCCGTGTGGAGCACTTTTATCATGGGTGGATGCGCTTTGATGGACTTCCAAAAAGCTTTATGAAGCTTGGAAGAGCCAGGACATTTTTTAATATAACTCTGGTTTCTTGAGCAGCAAATCAGCATATTGATTTCTGAAGGATCATGTGACACTAAAGACTGGTGTAATGATGCTGAAAATTCAGCTTTGCCATCACAGGGATAAATTACATTTTAAAAAATATATATCAATTGAAAACCTTTTTTTTTATTATTGTAATAATAATATAGTATATATTACTATATTTTCTATTAAATAAATGCAGTCTTGGTGAGCATAAGAGACTCGTTTCAGTAATATCTTACTGACCCCAAACTTTTGAATGGTAGTGTAAACAAAAACAAAAAGGTTAACTAATAACTATAGTTATTAGAATTCTGCTTTTTAAAATACATTTTTTTCTCTATTTTTGCAGAGACTTGAAACCTGAGAATATTCTCCTAGATGACCGTGGTAAGCCATTTTTATATTTACCACTGCGTATTAAAGGGGTCCTATTATGCTTTTCCACTTTTTCAACTTTAGTTAGTATGTAATGTTGCTGTTTGAGCATTAAAAAGATCTGCAAGGTTACAAAGCTCAAAGTCCACTCCAAAGGGAGATATTTTATTTAACAGAATTCACTTTCCAAGAAGTACAACGAATGGCTATAACACTATTTTTCTGGATCTTATGAAGTCACAATATTCCTCATTTAAATAATATACGCCCATGGAAAACACAAAAAAGGGGACGAGGCCTGCATTAGAGAAGAAAGTGCTGTTGCTATGTCAAAGAGACTGTAAAATCTGTGCTTGCAAAGTCTGGACATGAAATCCGTTCTGCACAGTCCTCTTGATCGTTAACATTGTCAGGGTCTGAATTGGTTTGAAATTGACGCCATCATTAATATTTACACTAGAGAAGAACTCGCCGTTGTGGAGGGGAGTTCTTCTCTCATTTCATCTCGAGTGTTCGAGCCAGACTGGAGATAGAGGTGCTGTAATAATGTAAAATATGTGAAAAATAATGTGTTTTTGAACAATCAAGCATGAAAACATATTCTAGTAATACCTCATAAACTAAATTAAGACTTGGTAAAAGGCCATAATAGGACCCCTTTAAGGTCTGTTTTTGTTATGTTTTTTTCTCCTGTTTATCTTATTCATGCATATCTACCCTTGAGGGTGGTCTATTTAGAAATTTGCCACCCAGAACACCCTAGCAACCACATAGCAATGTCTTGCCATTCTACCAGAACACTCTTGCATTGTGGTGACGCATTTTGCACAAACAAACACTACTCGCGTTTTCTTCAGAAAACGTAAAAATCTAGTTTTTCTTGTTAAGCTTCTTTAATTAGAGTATTTACCTCTAAGGAGAACATTCTTTTTACCTGTAGCTGTTTTGAAGCATGTCATGTTTGGGCATGATAGGAATGAAAAAACTGCAGGACCTATTAAGGCTCAATTTGAAGTGGAATTTTTGCTTTGCAGACCTTTGAGCAACATTACGCACTAAAGAAAGTTGAAAAATGTAAAATAGTATAATAGGTAATCTTTATGAGATGCTGTTCTTCAGGGCACATCCGTATTTCTGACCTGGGACTGGCCGTCCAAATTCCAGAGGCTGAGACGATACGAGGGCGTGTTGGCACGGTGGGATACATGGGTAAGAGCCAAACGCATTCCGGATCTCTTCAGCGGTTCTTGTCATAGAGTGTTTAAACTCATTCTTCTCCGTATGTGTTTTTAGCACCAGAGGTCATTCAGAATGAGAGCTACACCTTCTGTCCCGACTGGTGGGGTTTGGGATGCCTAATATACGAAATGATTCAGGGTCAGTCTCCTTTCCGTCGCCGCAAAGAGCGAGTGAAGAGAGAGGAGGTGGACCGTCGTGTATGTGAGGACCAGGAAGAATACACTGAAAAGTTCGCTGAAGAAGCTAAAGACATTTGCCGACAGGTGAGCACTTAATGCTCTTTTGTTTTTTTTGGTGATGTTGCTTATTAGAATGATCATAGTCATGAGATGGGAACAAACGAACAAAGCCACAGTAAGTTGGGATGATCGTGTCAACTAAACTATTGTCAACATAAATTGGTATTGGGGTCAATGACATAATGATCATATTTTGTACGAATGTATTAGTTTATAGAAATATACATAAAAATGCAATGCACAAATGTCCCTTCTGATTAACATGTTTTTAATTTATTTCTGTGTTAAAATTAATTTATATATTTTTAGTATTCATGTTTTTGTATTATTTTCTTATTTATTTATTTATTATTTATTTATCTATCAGTAAAAATAAGTAGTTATGTTAAAATATATTATTAGTAATTTTCTTTTTCTTTTTGAAAATAATGATTAAGACGTGTACGTTCACATGTATTTAAGGTGCAAGGGAAATGTTATTTTGCTTGACTACACCACATCAGTGTAATTTTAGTATTATTTATATACTATTATAGTATTTAATATGATTTTGTTTTTATTTTTATTTTAGTTCAGGTGATGTTCTTTTGTCATTTTTTTATTTTTTAATATATCTATTTAGCTTTCATTTATTTTTGTTTCAGGTTTAACAATTTTAGTACTTCAACTTATTTTATTTCAGTTAGTTGCAAAGTTTGATTTTTTTCCATCTAATATTTCAATTTTTATTCTTACATTTTAGAGTCATTAAATTTAAACTTTTATTGAAAACGCTATAAAAAGAAATTCGAAAGCAATATGAGTACTAGAGCTGCACAATTAATCGTTAAAAGATCGCGATCTCGATTCAAACTCCCACGCGGTCTCACTCCTAAAAATGACAACGGTTAGCCTGTGTCTATTAAACCTTTGACAAAATCATACCAGAACATCCAGAGAGAGCAGATGTCGTGTATGAAACCGCTTCACAAACAGTCTTTTCAGCCACACAGTATCGCTATTTCTGTGCTACAAATATTCATATATCACAAAACAACTGGGATAAACGTTTATAGTTCGGTTTTGGATATAAACACTGATGTCTACGGTAGCGATCAAAATAGAGCAAATCATCTTTTTAAAGTAATATGGCGCTTCAAATAACGATTGTATCGATTACATCATTATCCCAGTAGGTGGCGACAAGTGACTGTTAAAAAAATGTATTTGTCATTAAATCATTTATTCAAACCGATTATTTTAAATAATTAATTCAGATTCATTAAACATTTTAAATAGACTACAGAAATTATAATTTTGCCAGAACCTCTAGTACATTACATGTTATTTTGTTTTAGTCGTCTGTTCAGAATCGTAGGAGAATCGTGATCTACTAAGTACTAAGTGTAGGTGTATAAAAACTTGTGTCCTTTTCTTTATCATGGACATGTTTATTAGTCAGAAATATGAATGTCAGAATGTTGGCTATAATATGTAAGATTTTTTACATGGAAAAGAGTTCATGCGTAGTAGTGGAGGAGTGAGTGTTGTTTAGTCCTCTCTCACGGTGTCATGGAAGACTGTGACCTCAAGGTCAGTTTTACTTCCACTGGGATTTCTCCTCTTCTGTGTCAGCCTTACTTCTTTCCCTCCCTGACTCAGTTCCTGTTTCTGACAGCACTTTCCCTCTCTTTTCCTGGGCTCCCACAGTTGCTATGTAAAGATCCAAAGGAGCGGTTGGGGTGTCGAGGTAACGGAGGGGCCGAAGTCAAACTGCATCCCATTTTCCGCAACATCAATTTCAAGCGATTGGAAGCCAACATGCTAGACCCACCGTTCTGTCCTGATGTGAGTTATTGATTGGCTGTTTTCATGTTTTTATCTGCTTGACTCTTGAGCACCTATTAGACTAAACATATAGGATTTCCAGATGAATGTTTGCCATATCTAATTTTTTTTTTTTTAGCCACGTGCGGTGTACTGCAAGGATGTTCTGGACATAGAGCAGTTTTCTACAGTCAAAGGTGTAAATCTGGACCCTACAGATGATGACTTCTACCACAAGTTTGTAACAGGAAGTGTCTCCATCCCATGGCAAAATGAGGTACAGCACTCTGGTCACTTCAGAACAGTAACATGTCCATACATTACTATTCAAACGTTTGTTTATTTTTTTATGCTCACCAAAGCTGCATTTATTTCATAAAAAAAAATTAAAATTAAATGTGAAAATTGTGAAATTAAATGATCTTTTTTAATATATTTAATGTAATTTATTCCTGTGATGGTAAAACTGAATTTTCAGAATCATTACTCCAGTCTTCAGTGTCACATGAATCATTTTCTAAAATGCTGATTTGGTGCTCAAGAAACATTTCTTATTGTTATCAATGTTGAAAACAGTCGTGCTACTTCATATTTTTGTGGAATCCATGATAAAAAAAAATCCAGGATTCTTTGATGGATAGAAAGTTCAAAAGAACAGCATTTATATAAAATACAAATCTTGTAAGATTCTAAATGTCTTTGCTGTCATTTAAAATATAATTTATAACTTTTAAAACAATTTTATACAGTATGTAGTTAATTGTCATTTTTTTCATGTCTCTTAGGATATTTAGGCGAAACATCTGAGATAAAGTTAAATAAAACAACTCCATTAAGTCAATAAAAAAGTAACTTCTGAGCAATAAAATGTCCTTCCAGAAATTCACGATAGACCATTGAATTATTGAAAATCCTATATGGAAATGCGGCCAGGATGTGAAATAGAGGACTGGCGTGGAACGTTTTAAGTGTGTACAGTAGTACGCGTGTGTGTGTGTGTCCATATTTCAGATGATTGAGATGGAGTGCTTTAAGGAGATTAATGTGTTCGAGATGGATGGTGCACTGTGTTCTGATCTGGATGTAAACAGGCCAAATCCACCGCCCAAGCGAGGATTCTTCTACCGGTTATTCCGACGAGAGGCAAGTTCTAGCGTGCCGCCCGCTGTGGTCAGAGGGGGTGGGGCTTGAGGTATTTTCTGGCTCTTTCCAAACAGAATTTCCCACCTTCATCTTTAGTTTTTTTTTTTTTTTTGCCAAAACATTTTTGTTTGCCATTTATGATCTTGAATGGTAAAACCATCTCTGCATGGCCAGACTTCTCATTTCTATCTCTATGTTCATACTACAGGGCTGAATGTGTTTATTTTGGTTTACATATATATATATATATATATACATTATATTATATATATATTGATTTCATGTTGACTTTAAGCCCTGCAATATGAAAATCCAGACTATCTGTGTGTGTTTACTCTGACTAACTCTAACCAGAGTAATGCAAACCTCAAAGCTGATTAGTAAATGACTAGACTTTTTAATTTATGTGGTTTACCACTTATTGCAAAGTTTTGTTGGTTAAATGACAGCTGATCCCAGTTCAAACTTTTAACTGTGTAGTGTTTGCTCTGAGGTGAAAAAACTATCATTGGTTACAAATAATTTGATCTCCAATAATAAAATGTATCAGAAAATTAGTGGTCTTCTAAAATACATTTAACAAAAAGTTAAAATACAAAGTAAGAGATGTTATGACATGATTACACACTCAATGCAAATTACAAATTAATGAAAACTGAAAGCAATCTAGTGATTACAAATTCATAATGAAGAGAAATTACATAATAAGGTTGATATAAGATTAACGTATTGATTCTTGGTTAATTTGGGTAATATGTTGCTAAATGTATACAAAAATTCTTCAAAAGTGGCCAATAATTATATATTATGCACGTAATCACATGTAAAAAGTAATTTATCAGTACATGTAGGTTGTTTTGGTAAATTATTTCAATAAAAACTATATTTGGTCCGCCAAAAATGAATTTTTGGTTCATCGTTATGTTTAGCTTTATTATGTCAGTCACTTTGCAGATGATCACATTTCATACATCCTATTGTTGTGGGTTTTTGGTCAAACCTTTATTGACTGTGACCTCAGCTTTATACATCAGAAACACTACAAAACACTAAAAACACTAAACACTAATGTTTGTCTTCACTGCATTTGATATATTGTCACTGTGTTCTTCATCATTTACAGGTTTGTTTTAGGAGTGCTAGCAATGAGGAGGAGGAGCCATCTTGACTTAAAACCACTCCCACTTCCCATCAGCTGCCAATCAGAATGCTAAACGTATGAATGTTCAACTGTATTTATGAACTGTATTAAACTGTATCATAATTAAAGAAAAGGGTATGAGTTTAAAGAATTTTGTACATTTGTACTTGAATTATGTGTAGATGTATATTTTCACTAAAGGTTGTATTGTACAAAAAGCCATAGAAATACCACTTGAATGCATATATAATGTTTTTATTGTTATTATTTTTCATCTGTACTGAATATGAAATGTGTATTTCTTTTTAAGCACAATTTAAACACTCACTTTTATTTCTTAATGCTAACATCCTGTTAGCACAGCCTTTGTTTGTATGTTAGATGGCTGAACAGATTTGGTGCACTTGTTTTGCACAGTGGGGTAAGATAAACCAAGATAAAAGAGCAGTACAAATGTACAGATGGTCAAATGCAGATGTAGATGGTATAGCCTACGTATGGGGTCCAAAAGTCGGAGAACAACAAGTAAAATGCTTACATATTTCTAATTCGATTCAACTTTTTAATTTCAAATTATCATCTTAAGGGGCTATATGTAGAAATCAGAAACCTTTGTTATTAGCGACACCGGTGGCCGTTAAGTGAACTGCAGCCAGCAACTTATTGCTCGCACACGTAACGTAGGCTACACAAGACTGAACGAGATTGAAGTCCCCGATATACTCACAAAGTTCTTTTTCGTTCTTTGATTAGAAATAAAAAAAGTTGGAAATGCTGCAGTGATATTCTTTTAACGAACATCCCGACGCCGTCCATGCTGCTGAGAGCAACGTTTAGATGAATATGTAAATAGCCTATGTGCTGCGCGCTTTCAACTCAATAACAAACACTAATAAACACAACAAAAATGACAGAGGTGAGAAAACAGCAGTTGAGAAAGCATCTGTTCATAGCGATGTGGATATGTTTGCACAAGCTCTGCAATTCACCCGATTTTTAAATAGCATTCACTTCATGTCTCATTCTGAAGAGAGGCTCTCGGGAGCGCGCGGAAACTTCCCATCCTTTCCATTTTCCCGGCAAAAACGCCCCGAGTCCTTCACATAAAAATCTACAAAAAGTCTACAGGCTTTCTTAGACAACTTACAAATTCGGGGAAGGTCTCATTTTTAAGTTGTTCATACATAGTCAATAAAAAAAGCGATTAATACATGAAAGTTTTTACATATAGCCCATTTTACATTTGAGTAAAAGTTGAATTGAAAAAAACAAACAAACCTGAAAATCAAAATGTCTAGATTTTGGTTTGTCTTTTTTAATTTAATGACAGAAGCACTCAAGCTGCATGAACTCCACATGTTTGTGTAAAACCTGATGATTTTAGAATGACGAGTCTCTTATGCTTCAACAAGATATTTCATATTAGTTTTATGTAATAACTTTTCTTTGTTTTAAATGTTTTTTTTTTTTTTTGCTAAACATTGTTTATTTAGTCTCCTCGGACTTTTGAATCCATTGTATATTTATATTTTTAAAACACGAAATGGGCACAGATCTTTGACAAATCTGTCAATGGGTTTTTACTAACACAAGGAATTAACATTTATGCTCATGATAAACAGTGTGCCAAATAACTTGTGCCAATAGCCTCAAAATGACCAAATATTGGACGATTAATTAGCCTGATCGTTATAAACATCAGTCAATCACTAGTCATGATAATTCCCCCATGCCATTCATTGAATTCATGCAGATGTTATGAACTGCATGAAACAAGTAATCATTTTGTATCTCTGTGCATCAGGTGATTAATCCCTGTTTTGGCCATGTGCATATACAAGACATAAACCCACATTTTTTTTTCTTGTTTCTAAACTGCTCTGTGTATGTGAAATACTGTGACCTCCACATAGCTTTCAGACGACAGGGAAAACATCGGGCATGTTGAGCAATTTTCAACTGAAATGGGTTTTCAGTGGCAGAGAACTGGTGCCGATATCTGGAAAGCAGGGTGGCTGATGTAATGTGGATATATACATTAATGACGGCATATTACACTATATTTACTCAAAATCCACATATGATTGAAAATAGGAAATGTTTAATATCATTTAAAAAAGGCTGTTCGAATTTGGACCTGAAACGAGGGAGTGATAGTGAGTGGCTGGTACTGATAATCTCAAAATCAGCCAATATATTGACAGATTAATACATTTTGTTGACTGTTTGCGAATCTCCATTCAGTTCAGCTTTCTGCCTCCGTTCTCATTGTTACCTTTAGTGCCATCAGGTGTCTTTACAGTGGTTTTAACCAGGCCAGTGTAAAATACCTAAATAAGCTTCATCTTTAAATTTGCTCAAATGACGGCTCTTGGACGAGCTGTTGATTTTGCCTTAGGTGTCATAGGTTCAGTTAATATTCCAAAAGGAGTATTGATTGATCGGTTACTGATAATCATATAGTGTAACTAATGAGTGTGCACTATCAGAACTGTGCAATTTGTTTATCATACACGTGCACTTGTCTTTGTTGCTCATTGTTTATTATTTAGTTGAACTTTTTGTGTGCATATGGCATTATCACAATTCAGAGATGGGAATTTGTCACAAATTCATTACACTTAAATATGTACACAATTCTTACTATTTCCCCCCAAATGTCTTTATATACGACATTGTATTTTGTGTCATTTTTTTTTTTTATCTTGAAAATATTTTCTCCTTCCCCATCTTAACATGCATAGACAAAATAAACCATCCGTACGTTGATTCCGTCTCTGGCACTGCTCTGATTGTTGGAGAATCTCGACCAATTAGGAACCTTTGTTTTACCTTGCACCATTGCCCACATTTGTTTCTCTCTTTATGAGGATCTTTATGGTCCCTTTTGCAAAGCTGTGAACTTAAACTCTTAAACTTCTGTTATTCCCATATGTGTGCATGTTCTACTGTATTCACAAGAGGAAGAGCACTCACTTTAGTTGACAATAAAATTATGAGTTGACATATGGCCATTAAAATGTACTTTGCATTCTCTTGTAAAAACATTATTAAAACATGCAAGTTTGTTTTAACTTGTGAAGATTACACTGCCTTTCCCCCCATGTGGTCATATTATTGATTACAATATTCTATATATATATAATGATAATAATATTGAAAAATAATTCAATAAGAAATGAACTAAACATTTTGTGGCTGAACAGAAACACCAAAACAGGCCAATTTCTGTGTATTTGATGTGTTTGGCACCCTGTTAAGAGTTTAGAGACTATAATGTGTGTCTAAAGAGTTGAATTTTTAGACAGGAGGTTCAAAATGTAAAGACTGAATCTAATGTACTCACGAACATAACTGTAGAAACTGTTCAGATTAACACCACTGGTAAAAATGATGAACATTTCATCTTAACCTGTTTCTTCTCATTATTATTATTTTTGTTTTGTTTCTCTCTTTTCGGTGGAGAGTAATCCAGTGCAATTGACTGGATTGACGTATATTTGAAATCATTTTTCAAAAATCATCAATTTATTCACTGATAACTTTTAACATAAATGCTTTAGTTGACAAAGCATCTATTAGCTGCAAGCTTAAATTTCATGCTAACTGCCTGGTGTGAAAATGTCAGATCAAAACAATGACAACAGACCTCCTGTGCTGTACCATACTTGACATCTGGAATTATTAAATGATACTCTGCCATTTGTATAAAACTTAGCGGTCTTGTCCTTTGTATGTGTGATGGTCAGTGTTGGGAAAAGTTACTTTTAAAAGCAATGCGTTACAATATTGCGTTACTCCCTAATAAAGTAACTAATTGCATTACTTAGTTACCTAATTGCATTACTTTTTCTCCACTGTCCTGGGTTTGCTTGTTTGTTTTTTAATAACAAAAAATCTATTTTGGGAAATATAAAGGCCTCTTCACAGCAAATGAGAAATGAATAAGTCTTAGGCTGAAGGAAATGCAATTGAACGCCTGTATAGTAGAGATCAATAAATGGGAAGGCAAAGTAACTTGCGTTACATAATTGAAAATGTAACTTGTTTTGTTGTAAATTTAAAAGTAATGTGTTACTTTACTTGTTACCTTAAAAATAATCTGATTACATAACTGAAGTTATTTGTAATGCATTACCCCCCAACACTGCTGATGGCTGTGGATAGGTTTTCGAGGACAGATTATATCACATTACATCAGCTAGTCTTGCTTAAAAAATATTTTTCCAGAATAACGTTAGTCTTTCTTTGAATTTCTGCAAAGGGCCGTTTCTGATTAACCTTTTCATCCATACTCAAAATGTGGCCTTATCTTAAGGACAACACATGTAATCTTTGAATATTATGTAAATTCTTGCCTAAATGAAATATTATTTTGGGTTACCTGGAAAAAAATATGAGATGAGCAGGTTTTGGAAGATGTGGGATTATTTATTTGAATGTGTAACCCCGTATTGCATCAAACATATGTGGTTCAAGTATTAAAAGAAAAAGGGAAATTGGGAATTAAATGAAAAAGTCAAAAGTGAAGACATCATCATGTTAGTCCCAAAGGGTGTTTTTCAACGATAGTTTTTTTTTTTTAATAAATATTTTCTATATTCTCTGAATATATAGTGGCCTCAAAAAGTATTTGGATGCTTAAGGCGCAATTAAAAATGTTTGACATTCCTTCAGATAACAAAAGTAAAACAAATTCACCAATTCAACTTAAAAATCTTAAGTTCAGTTGCTGCCTTACATTTTTTACATAAACAAATTGGATGTCATTTCAACTTAAATTATATTTCCATTAAAAAAAGAGTTGAATCTCATAACTTTAAAAAAGTTGAAATTGCTTAAATTATTTTTATGATCTTAAGTAATGTAAAAACATATGTTGCCATGACCTAATGATCATAATTGTTTTTAACAGTTAACTTTATTATAAATGGTTAACAAAAATGAAGTTAGTTTTGATTGCACATTTGGTTAGCAGAGAGTTTGATATTTAGTCTCTAATGACATTTTTATGTGACCTTAAGTGTTCAAATATGTTTTAGGGCCACTGTGTTTTCTGTATTTACATATTTGGAAAAGTAATGAAGAGAAGTGTTAAAGTATGTACAGTCAAGAGAAAGGAAACACATTGCATGAAGCAGTATACTGAGTTCTTGGGTTTCGAGAAAAGGCTGGGAGTTTCCCTCATATTTACTGTCCTGGACTGGTTATGCAGGGCCAATGACAGCGCAGGTCTTCTGTCCTCTGGAGGTGTGTGTTTGAGAAGAGGAGCGAGACGAGGGTTCATTAGCGCTCTCAAACAGATCCTTCAGTTTCGGATGAAGTTCACCCCACACATCACCCATCTGAGGAATGAAAATGCACAGTTCACACAGTGTAACCAGTGTTGAAATGCTAAAATAATCAGTTAATAGAGTTGTTGTGTTATTGGAAATGTACCTCTTTGTGCCCTTGTAATTGTGAGTGGACAAATGTCCCCAGTATTGAAGTCACAAGGGGCAAATGGGTGAAGACCATCTGGGTTTCTTGATGCAGACACAAAAGGGAGAAATAACTCCTCATCTCCATGGTGATAATCGTGTTTTCCTGCTGTAGGAAGACAGAATTATAGTATTTAGTTCACCTGTCAGTGCTGTGGATTTTTTCTGCAGGTTACATTGTTATGCCACTAGGCAACAAAGTGAATCATTCACTCGTTTCGTTCAAACGATGATTCACTACTGTGTGCTCGACGCTCAGTTGATCCTGCTTTGGCTTTGTTTGATCTTTTTCCATTGGCAGAGCAAAATTGGACAAAGCAATTGGAAGAATTGTGTCTAAAATGTAAGTTACTCAATATTAACGTCATTATTGTATGAAAGCAATATCACAATATCAGTTAAATTATAAGAAATAATTAGAAAATAAAACACTAACTAAAAAAAGGTTAAATATTTGACTTGTTTGTGCTGAGCGGCCTCTCGATTTTCCATGTCATAGTCGCGTGACTAGTGGCGGGTCTGTGTGAGCAATTTCAGAAACATTTTGAGAAAGAAAAAATGCAAAAGATAAAAAGGAGAAGGATTAGGGAGAATTACCCTGCCATTTTGTAAATATTAAGTAATCATGCAATCAATAACAATGTTATATGACTAATTTAAGTAATAATCTAATTACAAGTATTTAATTTTTGGAATCTGATTATGTAATCTAGATTACATATAATAATATAACCCAGGACAATATTGCCTGTAATATAGTAAAACTTCTAAAAAGGCTTCTCAAATAAGAAAAAAACAAAAACATAACAAGTAGAACGGGACTTGATTTTGTCCATCGCTCAAGGAGTTGTACTTTTTTTTTTAAAACACATATTTATAGCTTGCTTTTTTCCATTCCTCTGCCTTTTTTTTTTTTTTTGCAATAAAGCTAAATTTGTTGTGTGTGAATCACCCCTAATGAATCTTTTGGACTGATTCATGAGCCGTTTTGAGTGATACATTCTAAAGATCCAACAAGGACCAAGAACAATTTGCTCACAAGTCAGACATCATTATGAGCATGTTTCATAAGCAAGTTTCACTGTACCCATATGTGTGCACATTAATATTTAAAATGGATATTTAATATAGAAATTTCTATTCCATTCTCCATGCCAGATATTCCCAGGCTGTAAATGAGTGAACCCTGCTGAATTACTGTAATGTTTTTCCTGTGAACAATGCAATTTTACTATGTCAATAGGAGACCTGTATACCTCAGTTTGGTTAAGTAGATTGTATGTTGGTGGTGGTGCAATACTGTATGTGTTACCTGTGTGAGTCGAGACTGCTCAATGTTGCTCTGGTATTTTAAGTGTGTAGCCACAGGCCCGCTGCGCTTTTCAAACGCTCTCTGATGCTCTAATAACACACCGCTTTCATGCCGATCACACAAGTCCTATACACACACACACACACACACATGCAAATATATTAACATCGGAATGTCGTTACAGTTGAATTGTTTAATTGTAAAATGACCATCCTTTCACAGATATTGATTACTTTAAGTACTCCATCTTACACCAGCTGCATATGCCCCTTTAACATCCATACTATTTTGTGGCACAAATTGAAATGAAAAGATTTCTAGAGACAGAACTCACTTTATACGACTGCAGCTGTTCGAGGAGAAGGTTCAGTTTCTCCACCACTTCATCCTCTTCTCTGCTGCCCTGGAGTATTAAAAGGGGTTGGAAATATTCTGTTTAATTTCTGTTCAACCAAAGCAAACTGAAAAAACTGTAGCGAGAGTCATAATATTGTGGGTGTATATTATAATAACACTTTTGTTCAGTGCAGATCAGTGATCTGCATCATTTTTGTAGTGGTGTTTGTGATCAGAGTAATGCTCAATAATGATCTGTTTAAATACCTGGTGTGCAGCTTTGTCTGCGAGAAGACCAAATTCTCCTGACAGCTCTACGAGTGACTTCCTCTGTGTTTTCCATGCTTTGCTCATTGTAGCGTTCACTGGCAGGTCTGGTGTGTCCGAGCCCAGTTCACTGTTGAGGAATCAAGTGATAACCTCTGACATGTCCACACAGATGTCTTACTTATCAGGGTTATTATCGTTAAATAAAACTAAAACCATTAATGACTTTTCCGTTACTTGAAAAAAACAAAAAAAACATTAATTGAAATAAAATAAACTGTAAACATTTTAAACTTTTTTTAATTACAACTAGTTGCCAAGGCAAAATTACCTATTTTCATTTGATTTAACTTGAAGTTCTAACTAAAATAAAAATTAATAAAAACTACATCAAATTACTCTACAAAAAAATGACATAAAATCCCTTTAACTTAAATTAAAAAAAAAAAAAAGATTAACTATAATATTTTATTATAATACAATAATATTATATTAATGATAATAAAATAACACATCATAATCATTGAATATTTATCATTCTATAAGTGTTAGAAACCACACCATGATCTAAACAATGATAGAAAAATGAACACTTTGAAAAGGTTAAACACTTTTAAATATTAATTAATAATTTAATGTTAACATTGATATCAAGTTGTACAATTGTACAATTTAGCTACATACATTTTTAGATATTTTATGATATTATATCATAAATATATCATTATTAAATATCTTATTATATCACTACATTCATTATCTTGATTCTAAACATTTTTTTTTTTTTTCTATTAAAATGAGACAGATGGATGGATGGATGGATAATGATGAATTGGTTCACCTCAGGTCTTTTCCAAACATAAGCAGATCCGTTGAGTTTTCTCTTGAGCGCTGAGCCATCCGCTCAGCCACATCTCTGAGTTTATTGAAACTGCTGTGGAGACTTGCAATGACCTCTCGATTAGCAGCAGCCTGGCTCTGCATGCCCTCGGGTAGGTTCACCTTAAAAATGACAATATTCATTTTGTGTGTTCATTTCCCTTTCAAGAAGTACTGTGGTACACAGTGTTTTTTTGATATATACCAATGTCCCAGACAGCAACATAGTGTCGGCCCACATCTGGTACGTACACGTTGAACCCACATGTGCCAGATGTGGCCCAGATCGAATTTGAACAGAGGAAACTCTTTACACGACACCGTCTTCAACTAAAAACGTTCAACTTTGTATGCGCTTTGGCCGTTCGTTTTTATACGACAACGGAGTTTTGGGGTGCCTGAAAACCCTGAAAACACAAACTTTTGAAAATGGGATTCAAAGTGCAATTTTTTGAAAACGGTCTCCGTGTAAACAACAAAAACGCAAATCTCTGAAAACAATGACGTCATGCACATACGTAGCCTATGTTGAGTTCAGTCATCGCTAATGGCCTGGCAGCATAAAACATCATTTTTCGTTTTCGCGGATCCGTGTGAATGGGATCGTTTTGACAATGGCGGAAACCTTCTCTGTTTTAAGCATCGTTGTCGTGCAAACGTAGCCTAGCCTCAGTGCTTAATGTGGAAAGTATCGGTAATTAAGATAAAACAGAAGAACAGTTGTGTAGGATTAATTACCAACAAGGGCACACAGGCAAACCAGAACCGAGAAAACAGAAATAGCCGTTACAATTACTTCTGATTTGCATTAAATACTGTATAGACTATAGAACAATTCTGTATAAAACAATAGTGGATTTAACATCAAAATGTAACGTCTAATGTTAAAATGTATGTTTAAATACTTTGGTCACTTCAAGAATAATTTATGCAATTTTATATTATTTATTTGAAATAATTTAAACTGGTTGAGGTTGAAATGGGATTTAGAAAGTAATTAGTAATTAGAAAGAGTGAGTATCTAAATACACTGTTGAAGATGCTAGTAGTAACTAGCAATTAACTACTTTTTAGAGTAACTTACCCAACACTGTATACCAATACCATGATTTTTACATGGAATATCAATTTTTATTTCATGTCTTTGTTATTTTTTACCCACCTTGCCGTGCAACGCTATTTGGGAGGTCAGAAACTCGTCCCCTGTCTTTTTATATGCATCACGCATCTTGTTTAGAACATCCTGTAACAAAAAAGGACGAAACCTGATCAAACTAGTCCTCCTGAATAGATGAATTAGTTTTGCTGCCATCTGCTGGTTTGCAGGACTTACTGCGCTGCTTACTGACAGAAAGATGTTGACCAACTCATCTCCTGCTAGGACTGGATGTCTGATCACCAAGGTCATGAATCTTTGTAGACCACGGCGGCGACTATCGTTAAACTCTCGGTCTGATACTGAGTTCAAAACTGAGAGTTAATGGGAGAGATAGAAAAAATAGAGAGTTTTAATGGCATAATAGGAGCGCACTCATTTGAGGACAGTTAGTTGAAATCTCACCTCCTTTAAGGATACGCTTTGGGGGCAGAGACGGGACCATCCTGTAGATGAACTTTTGCAGCAGTAGACCGTGGAACATCTCAAAATCACTGTATCTGCGTTGAACCGGGATCTGGAAACACTATGTAAATAATTGATTAATTCAAATTCATTAAATAGTTTTAGTTAGACTGCAGCAATTAACATTTTATCAGAAGGAGAATTGTGATCTCTATTTAAAAAAAAAAAAATCCTGATTGAACTTATCCAGAATTGTGCAGCTCTAGTGTGTGTGTGTGTGTGTCTAGGCCTATTTTTTCCAGTCTATGGTCTAGGCCTATATAGAAAATTGAGTTTACCTTGCTAACAATACGGTACTCCACATGTTTGAGGAAGGACAGTCCTTTCCTTCGGGGCTCTATCTCCACCAGCACACTGTCCCCCAGCTCTTTTAGCGACAGCCCATCCACCAGGGCGCTTTGTTGACCCAGATGCATTTTCTTTGCACCTGACAACAAATGCACAAAAGGTCCAATTAACAGTGTGCAAATTATGTAGTGACTTCCAGGAGGGTAAAATTGTTGAAAAGCTCTGTAGAAAATTTGAATGGCATAATTTCTTGAGGTTCATATTGTTCAACCCAGATTGCCTTTTTTTTTGCGCGCTTTTTTAGCCCAACGTTAACTTACACAAAACACTAATATTTTTTGTTTTTATGTTTGTTTTATGTTTATTATACCATTCAAAATTTGGGGTCAGTGCAAGTTTTTTTCTGTTATTTAAATGAATACTTTTATTCAGCCATGACAGTGAAGACATTTATAATATTACAAAAGATTGCTAATTTCAGTCACATTTAGTTAACATGAACTAACAAATAAACAATATACATCATTTATTAAAAAGAATCCTGAAATAAAATGTATCATGTTTTCCACAAAAATATTAAGCAGCAATAATAACAAATGTTGCACCAAATCATCATATTAGAATGATTTCTGAAGGATCATGTGACACTGAGTAAAGTGGAGTAATGATGCTGAAAATTCAGCCTTCCCATCACAGGAATAATTTACATTATAGATTAAAATAGAAATCAGTTAGCCTATTTTAAATGGTAACGATATGTCACAATATTATAGTTTTTACTGTATGTTTGATGTTTGTTATTTTGTCAGTTAGATAAGGATGATTTCGCATTTGAAATAATTGTGGTTGATTAATTGAAAATTCAATATCCATTTTGTATTATATAATACTCATGCAAATGACTAAAAACAGGGAATATGGTGATTGATTTAGATTCATCCCAATATGGTTTAAGTGAAGCGTTTTAATCCTCTGTAGAACAAAGTGACCTATTTCACATCAGATAACACAAGCTATGCTTCAAACGAGTATCCATGACTATTTTTTCGTGTAAATAACAGTGGGGTGGTTTATATTTATGGGGCATAAGGTTTGCTGAGGCTCATGTAAATGCATGAGTTGTGGTTTTGTTTTAATTATGAATGTTTCTGTGTTTCAACATAGGTATCTTAAATATAAATACAATCTCCTAATGCTGTCTGTCCGTCTCTTATGTCTCAGTGTGTACTTAGGTCTATAAGCTCTTTGTGAAAATAGGATTTGTTACCTTAACACTGGGGCAATAGGTGGTTTCAGGTGATCCTGGAGGAGAGCAATGCACTGGCCTTCGAAATAAAGATGAGAACTTGCCATTATAATTCCCATATAGCTACATGACATGTATGACAAAACACATTAACATTGTTTTAAACACTGTCATATAATACAAAAAGGCACTTCTCTTGAACGTTCACAGCAATGAAATCAATATATGCCTTGAACTATAAATATAGCTCTTTGCACTTTTGATTAAAAAAGTGTATCCAATGAAACAGTCATTTTAAGAGGCAATATCATTTAAAATACATCTCTAATACCTTATCCTAGTAATTTTTGTAGACATGAATGCACAATTTCTTCATCAAATGCACAACCTCTCATGAAAAGTTTGTTTAGTTTTTTTGAGTGAAATTGTTTTAAAGGAATAGTTCACCTGAAAATTCTGTCATCATTTACTACAGAATTTTAATTTTTAAGTGAACTATTCCTTTAAGATTGTTTCCTCATATCCTTACCAGATTGCTGATGTGTACGAAGTTGGCTTCGCTTTGCAATCCCCAAGAGACCTTCGTTTGCACCTCGACTGCCCTCTTCACGCTTAATGCCTGACTGACTGTAAAGACCAACAACACCAACAGATCAGATAACAGTCTTTTCTCTCCCTCCCTCCCTCCCTCCCTCCCTCCCTCCCTCCCTCCCTCCCTCTCTCCCTCTCTCTCTCTCGCTTTGCTCTTTCCCTCCTCTTTGCATCCCTCAACACATACATTTTACCATTAATCATCTTAAGAGGATAGGAGCTCTTTAAAAAAAAACATCACAGCCTCTTGGTAGGCAATCTGGAATTAAAGCTTATGTAACGGTTATAATAATGATAGTGGCAGCAGGCAAAAGATTTAGTTTTTTTGTATAGGTTTGCAACAGAACTGCTTGATAACTATAGAGACAAGCAGAGAGTTTGTCTCAGGTTACCCACACATTCATATACCTCTGTTTCCATTTCATTGAAAGAATAACCTCTTATTTTAATAAATAGTCATAGATTTAGATGAATTATTAGAGAGCAACAGGTGGCTTTTTATACACACATGTAATCCCCAAACCAAATCCATCTATGAGATGTCTATTATCACTGTGTCGTGGTAGTACTAAATTACCAATGCAAGGTCATAACTGTTTTTACCCCACAGTTACAGTAAATATCAAATGATAGCAGCAGAGCGGGATTATGTCCCCTGTAGAGCTGCAGCTGTTCACTGTTTCCGGTTCCTGTAACATTATTTTAATGACTGTCATCTTCAAGCATCTCACTTTCTATTTGATAAACTAGTAGAATGTTGTATATATAAATACAGTTTTCAAGTAGCTAAATTTTTTTTACATTAGTGACACATAAAACCCAGCATGTTTCTACTTCTAATATAAGCAATTACATATTTAAAGATCTAAACCAACATCAAAATAAACACATACAGCCCTACATAAATAGGCTAGTAGGCTACGCGGTATACATATACACATGTGCATGCATACACATAGGCTACATACGTAGCCTACATATAAAGAGTGATTGGGTGATTAACAAAAAAGAAGGAATTATGGAAAGAACAAAATGGTGCTTTAAGAAATCCCATATTTTAAGCTGTATTTCAAACAGGCGACCGCTCACAGTGTGCGCAGGTATTGCGCAGTGCTGACGCACATGAACACGTTTGGTTTGCTGTTTATTGTCATGTTAAACATTTTCGGTTGCTAGACGACAATAATGCACATTACATCCGTACAGCGAAGAGAGACGCGAAACGACGCTGTGCAACATTATTGCGTTAAATCTGTAGCTTTCACACACAATATCGACGTAGGATCACGTTGCTTTTCTTAACGGCGACATCAGGAAACAGCTGCATCTTGGTAACTTCTTAACAGCCCCTAAACACTTCAACTGCTCGTTTATGCGGTTTTATAGTAGGATTTACACATCTTTTAAATGAAAAAAAAAATACGATTTCCTGATGCATCATAAAACTCGGACATTACAGGTCGTACCTCCATAGATAATACTGGATGAGAAAGGGTTATGGTCCTGTTGTTTGTAAAAGGTGATGATTAAATAACAGGCCATCACAGGCTATAATGTCTGTAGCTGGAGAACTTGTCACAGAAGAGGAGGTGGAGGATCTGGTAAGTAACAATTCATGATGCTTAATTCGTATAGATCTCCTGGACTGTAACACTAGCGAAAAGTATCATGCAATAATACCATGTGTTTTGGAGATGGTAAAAAATACATTGGGGATACCACGCTATAAAAAAGTTATCTAAATACTAGTACCATGTCATATGAACATGTCATGGTAGAGTATCGATAGTAGGCTACTTTATTTATATTTATATTAATGTTTCATATAAATATATACATATGTATTTTTATTAGGGCTGTCAAATGATTAATCGTGATTAATCACATCCAAAATAAAAGTTTGTGTTTACATAATATATGTAGGTGCACTGTGTTGTGTATAATTATTTTGTATATATATAAATACACACACATGCATGTATATTTAAGAAAAAAAATATTATTTATATATAAAATATTTATATATAATATAAATTATATATAAATCTATATACAGTATAGGCTATACATGAAAATATTTCTTAAATATATACAAGCATGTGTGTGTATTTATATATATAAAATAATTATACACAGTGCACCCACATATATTATGTAAACACAAACTTTTAATTTGGATGTGATTAATCACGATTAATCATTTGACAGCCCTAATTTTTATTAATGTTTCATGTCTGTGTATGTTTTTTTAAGGCAGAGGACAGTCTCTGTAGCAGCTATGTGTCTGACACTGAAAAGGTAAGATAGTCTTTAAAGACAAAGTTGCGATATACTTTTTTTTCTCTATTGTGATGTATGTCTGAGTGAAATGGCTTCTCGAACAAGAAAGAATGTAGGACGGACTTGATTTTGTCTCCATTGAATTATTATGGTTTGCTATTGGTCGGTCTCATGTGACAGTTTGCCCCGCCCTCGCGCCAGTAAACACGTCATCAGAGAAGAGAAGATACGTTGCTGCAAGAGGGATGGAAAAATTACGATTGCACATGAATAAATAATAATAATAATAATAATGTGCATGGATCAATAATTTGTAAAAAATACAGCAATATTGCATTAAAAACAAGAATTGTCGATTTTGATTACATGGGGATATGGTGATTTTAGGCTAATCGGTTTCCTTAGTTCAACTGTTGCTCTTTCATTCTTGGATCTTTGCGCCAATATGGTATCACATTTATGTGTCTGATTGTTGGATTTATTTTCAGAAGTCAAGAAAAAAGAAAGTTTCAGGCAGACCACCTCCTTCTCCTAGTAAGTTTAAGACTGCCACACAAATGCCACCACCTTTTTCTGCACATCAACACAGTATTGTAAAAATGTGAAATTAGCTTGTTTCATTGTGATTACTTAATGCAGCTACACTGCAAATATGCCTATACAATAATACATATTTCTTTATTTAAATATAGAGTCACCGTACCTGAACAGTGCAAACTTGAATTTGAAGAAAACTCCAGTAACATCATGGAGGACGGTGAAAGGGACTCTGCTCCAAAACTGTAAAACCCATCCGGCTGGTACACCCAGGGACGTCTGGCTGCACTTACAGAATGATGGACAAGGTCTGTTACTATTTTTAAATAACTCTACATTTAATGTTTGGTAACACTTTATTTTACAGTGTCATTGTGACATATGTTACATGTAGTTACTGTAGTAATAACTATAAATTATGCATAATTACATGCAACTAACCCTAAACCAAACCCTAATCCTCCTTACCCTATAGTAAGTAGTAGTACATGTAGTTACTTAATATTTCTCAGTACTTAAATGTATAATTACAGTGTAACAAAGACACCTTAAAATAAAGTGTAACCTTATATTTCTTTTACCAAAAAAAAAAAGATTTTTCAGACACGTTTACGTTCTAAGAACCAACCAAAGTTCAGATCGGCACCTTAACATAAAAATGCAATTTTGCTTCTCAGATAAAAACAGATAAACTTGTTCAAACATTTTCTGGAAAACTAGACAAAACAGATTGTCATCACAGAAATCACATTCATAGCCAACCTGTGTGCTCTATCATAGCTATGCATTTGAAAGACATGCAAATGTAATATATTTAACTCTATAAACCATATTGCTTCATATTGATGCATTTTTTTCTAAGGCCTCTAAATTAACATGAATAAAATTTTGCTAAAATTACTACATGCTTTCTGCCCTCTGATTAATAGCATATACCTTTTTAGCAAGTAAAAGTCCTTTTAGTATAATTCTAAAAATGTCCACCTTCAGGTTGTGGTACACATGTCTTTTTGCTGTAAAATAGTTGCTGATTTGTATTAAGTCATTTTAAATAATTTTTTATATTGTTCGTAATATTTCAAGATGAACATTTACTGGACTGAAGCAAGCAACTTAGGCTTACTTGATTGTCCATAAATCATGTTTCTTTAGGAAAATCATGTTAAAATGCTTTTAAAGGAACGTTTATTTGTACGTCTTCATTGTATTGTAATATGTGCTTTATAAGTTCTAGTAAACAGCCAATATCCTAGTAATATGCATGCTAATAAGAAACTAATTAATATTGAGAATTGGAGCCTAAACTAAAGTGTTACCGTCAGGCTTTACAGGGTTACATTTTGTTTATTTCAGGGAAGTCTTCAAAAGGAGCAGATTATAGTGTCACACAAACCAGCATTTCCATGACCAGCACACCTGAATACTTGAAGGAGGCTTTAGAAATGAAAAAGACGAAATATTCCCGGTCTCCATCTAACGGTGAGATAAAACTAAATATATCAACCTTAAATTGTTCATATAACAGGTTTTATTTTTCTAATTTTGTCACCATGTTATTTGTACAATTCTTTATCAGGTTATGTTCCAGGGACCCCAGTCTACAAAGAAAAGGAAGAAATGTATGATGAAATAATTGATCTAAAAAAGGTGATGCTCACCTCTCACACACTCACTCGCTGACGTAATACTGCAAGTGTTTTTCAGGATGTGTATTTAGAATTTTGATTACATCAGATGGCATGTTTTCAACGAATTGGGATTTATGTAAACTCTCAATACTATCAGTCCTATATGCATACCAGGGATTAGTGGTTAGGATTAGTGTGTCCCAAATCATAGTTTGTTAAAAATAGCATGCCAAATGTTCCTGGATGGTGTATTATTTCCACTGGATTTCAGGAAATATCAATGCAAACTTCAAGGAAATGGTTTTTGAGATTTATTTCAGTACTGCGTAATTTTGTCTAAGATTTCCAATCACCAGCCTAGAATGTTGCTGTCTATGAACTAGGAGTGTGCACACTGAAATTGCATGTACACACATATTTTCTCTCCCTTTTCTCAGACCATCCAGTCGCTAAAGGCTGAATCTGACAAGATGAAAGCCAAGCTCCGCCGTCTTGAAGAAGACAACACGAAGAAAGACAGACAAATCGAACAGCTGCTGGATCCAGCGAAGGTGATGAGCAATTGTCAGTAAATCCAGCAGCAGAGATGAGCTTGAATAGTTTATATGAGTGTTAACATCCACTTTATTGTGTAAATTAGTAGCTTAGTGTGCGGCCTGTTTTACACCACATGCGTAACTGCAACTGCCATTATTCTTTCAAACTGTTCAAACTGAAAATAATATGATTTATATTTTATTATTAACATTATTTACAGAGCAGATAACTGCCAGACATACAGTACACTACCATGCACATGTTTGGGATCAGATTTTTTTAATACTACTGTAAAAAAAAATATTTTAAATTTTTAGAAATTAATACTTTATTCATCAAAAAGGCATTTAATTGATCAAAGGTGAACGTAAAGACTTTTACATCGATTGTTCCCAAAAAAAAAATTCTGTTTAAAGTAAATGCTGTTCATCAAAGAATCCTGAAAAAAGTTATTTTCACCATAATAATAAGAATTGTTACTTGAGCTGCAAATCAGCATATTAAAATGATTTCTGAAGGATCATTTGACAATGAAGACTGAAGTAATGATGCTGAAAATTCAGCTTTGATATCACAGGAATACAATTACATTTTAATATATGTATAATATATAATCATTTTTAAATGATTATTTTTGCGTTGATCATATAGGACCCAGATTATGCAAGGGGTTTAGTGGACAGAAAGACAGATCCTAGATCGGTGAGTATGCCATTATAAAAACAATCTCGTTTCTTCAGAACAAGGTTTCTTAATTTGATGAATGATATAAAATAAAAACTGAATTTTTCTCTTTTTAAACACACCAGATCATTAATGGACTGAAACAGAGGATTCTACGATTGGAGCAGCAGTGCAAAGAAAAGGAGAATGCCTTGAGGTCTGATGCCAAATCATGTATATTATACAATCATGCAATTAATCAGGTTATGGTGAATCAAAACAGTATGAATGAACTTAACAGAACTTCAACATGAGAGTTGTAGGCTAATGGAGTCAAAAAAAGCGTTTTGTAGTTTACATGGAGACGATAACAGTATCGTTTTCAAAAACTTGCACTTTGATACCCGTTTTCAAAAGTTTGCATTTTCACGCCCCTAAAACACAGTTGTTGTGTAAATGTGGCAAAAACGCATGAAAAGTTTTCAGTTTTTAGTTGAAAACAATGTCGTGTAAACACCCCCTTAGACAGTAATAATAATAATATGATAAGACTATAGACATAAAGATGTTCTGAAACTCTTGCATTTTCCATTTAATTTTCACTCAGTATTTAAAATATTATGTTGACTTACACTGGGGTCCAATACATTGGAGTCTCTAGTTTATGTTGTACTGTACCTAAACTGATGAATTGTGTATTTGCCATCACAGTCAGCTTCAGAGTGACCTCAAAACTACCAACATGCAGGAAATGAAGATCACTGTAGAAACCTACTTTGAGGAGGTAGCTTATATTATTTTATATAAACTAAATGTATTTCACTATATATTAACTTCTGTTTTTTTTTTTTTTTTTTAGTAATACATTCTTTATTTTTCATGCTTAGGTTCAAAGATTGCGAACACTGCTGGAGTCAGCTGAGAGAAGGTACAAACTTTGTTAATTTTACGCATAGTTTGATGGTTCCTCTTGATTCCATGTTTTGTATAAGTCTTTCTCTCACTCTTTTTTACTCTCTTTAGTAATAAGATGGAGAGCAAAGACATCAGGCGGCAGAACAAGACCCTTAGTGCGACAGTTCTGAAACTCACAAAGACTGTTCAACAACTGGAGGACGAGAACCAAGAACTCAAAAAAGAATTGACACAGGAAGAGATGAGCATGATGGACAGCCCTGTTTGCCGTGCCAAGGGTACTTACATTTACAAAGGCGCATCTTAACTTAGATGCACAGCAGAACTGGAAACACTATTATACCAAACATTGTTTTCTATGAACAAAGATACTGGCTTAAGCCAGCCTAAGATCCTTAACTGGTCTTTGCTGGTCTGTTGACCTTGCCAATTTGGTGTTTAACTGGTTTAGTTGACTGGACTGTTCTCCTAGCATGACAAGCTGAAATGTGCACAACATTTTTTATTTATTTAAAATTATTCTCACACCCAGGGCTGAATTCAGTCAAATGATGTATCATGTTTGAATGTTTACAGGTTATATGGATTGGAGTAAACAGAGACTTGTGCGACGAATCCTGGAACTTGAAAAGGTATATATACAAAGTTTCTTCATGAAACTGTAGATGGCGCAGGCTAATAGGTCCTTAACTCAAACTACTTCCAATCATATCATTCTGTATAGGGCACAGTTGATTGTTTTCTGCTGTATCAGTAGCCAATGAGCTGGCGTGCTAAACCTTCAAATACTTAGCTTTTGCCTTTAGCAGTGCAGTGTGCTTTCAGAAACCCTCCACCTTCCCCAGCTCCACCTGTATAGATCTGCTACGGGTAATTCATGTACGCTATATTGTACAGCAGCAGCATGTCTTACTTGCTCACAGCAGCATGTCGTGTTTGTATTGGCAGTAGCAAGTCCTGTTCAAATAACCAACAGCAGAAGCAGCGTAGTAGATCTATTCTGCCAAGGCCAAATATATCACCATATATACAATAGTGTGTGTATATATTAAGCATTACTTGTAGAAAGTAATGATCAATGTCCATCATGTGAATGTAGTTTGTCTCATTTTTTCAGAGAGTCGAGCAGATGAAGAATCTTCATATTACTAAAGCATCAGACTCACAGAAGAGCTCAGTGGAGAAAGGTACTGAGTCAGAATCGCCCAATCAGAGTGATTCTGTCAACACAGAGATGGAGCCGTCTGTGATTCCAGAGAATGATGTGCATTTGAGGGAAGCATTTAAGAAACTGGCAGAAGAGAATAAGAAACTACAGGAAAAACTAACCCAGAGAGAGTGAGTGTACTCACAGCACACACACTAGCATTAAACAAAATTGGGGTCGGTAAGATTTTTTGATTGTTTTTGAAAGAAATCTCTTGTGCTCACCAATGTTGCATTTATTTGATTAAAAAAGGAATATTGTAAAATGTTATTAAAATGAAAAATATATTTTAAAAAGTCATTACCAAAAAAAGACATTACTTCCAGTCTTCTTCAGTATCACATGATCCTTCAAAAATCATTCTAATATGCTGATTTGGTGCTCAAGTATAATTTTATATTATTATCAATGCTAAAAATAGTAAAAAAAAATATGTCCCATTTATTATATTTATATTCCTGAAATGTTTAACATAGTTGAGAGTAATTCTAATTGAAAGTATTTGTCTTGTCTTCTCAGTAAAGAGATAAAGCAGTTGTCTGCTGAGAAGGATGACGGACTGAAAGAGGTAGAAAACGCACTGAAGGAGCGAATTAGAGAGCACGAGGGACTGATGCAAACACACAGGTTTGTAATATAAACATAATGAAGGAATCAAGAACTAAAACTATTTTGGTGGTGTTTTGGAAGACGCTGAATTCTCACAAGATTAAATTATATGTGATTTTACTGTTATGCGAGATAAACTTATTAAAGCCTGATTTATATTTCCAATGCTTTAAACAGTTATTTATTATGTTGAAAGCATTTGTGCTCCTTTAGAGATGTTTAGAGAAATTATTTACTGTGGTTATTGTTGGAATATTGTCACATTTCTGTGACATTTTTCTGAGTGGAACACCTTGGTTACGTGTGCAGAAAGAAAAGTCATTTTAAAGGTATTATATAGGAAGTTATTACATTTCTATGATTTTTTTTTATTTCTGTAGAATAACATGGATTGAATCATGAACAAGGAAATTTAATAAGAAAGTATGTAATGTCAGTTTAGATTTCATGTTGTTTTATTTGCAGGCAGGAGATGGGTGCACTGACTGTAGAAATCAACTGTTTAAAAGAGAAATTAGAGGAGGAGAGAAAACTCAGATTAGTACAAGATCCAAATCAGGTAATACTTTCAAAATACTTATTAGCTACACACACAAACTCATGAAAATGAAACTGTCACAGTCTATATATTTTCTCATCTCATAGGTTCGGAACGGTTCTTTATCATTAACACTCACAGAACCATTGTCGTCATCAGCGGTTGCTTCAATGGAGAAGAACAAAGCAGCTAAGATCATCCAGACACACTGGCTCTCACACCGAACACGGGTTGGTACAACACGTCGACATGAACTGTACTCCCACAGTGAATGCAGATTATTCATCTCTTCCTTTATTCTTCTGCTCCTTTGCTTAGGATCTAGTTCTCTTGCAATCCTGTCTCAGAGGGCATGTAATCAGGCAGAGGCAGATAGATGGACCTCGGCAAGCAGATCCAACAACCGTCCTTGTTGCCATGGTAATTCTTTTGATGGGATGTTTTATTATACACTGTTTGTTTACAGATATATATAGTTCTGTCATGAAACTCTAGAGGGTATGATAGGTCCTTTACATGCAATCTGCTAGCAATCACATCATTACCAGGTGGCACACACGCCACTTTTCCACTGTCGGGCCAGTGCGAGCCAGGGCTAACAGCGTGTTGGGTGAGGCCAATAGCCTCGGACATCAAGCCATGAGGCCAAAATAAAGCTGCGTTTCCACTGTCGGGCAAGTTGCCCCATAGCGCTACTCTTAAACCCTCCCTATAAAAATGTCACCACACCCTACCATTTCACCAGCTGACTGAAAACGAGCCGAATTGCAAAATGAGCATGACAGAAGCGAACATTTGTTCTTCACTTAAAGGTGAACTAAGTAACTTTTTTACCTTAACTGAACAGCTTTGGAGTCATTGTAATGTTTATATTACTGATTTTGTGTTGAATGGTGGTCGTCTCGCCCCCCCCTGTTGGCTGTGAGCGGAAAAAATGCACTTGCAACTTTGAGCTGGCGGTCCGCCGGCCGCTGCATCAGGAAGTGTCGCGTGATATCAGGTCTCGCGATGTAACGAATTGCTTTACGGCAAGAAAGATCTGCTAAAATAAGCATCAAACAGAAATAACCCGGCGCCGTATACATGTGGTGTTCGAGGCGCACATACAATACAGACTGCCGACAGTTAAACAGGGCGCGCACAGCTCTTAAAGGGGCCACACCTTATTTCCACTCGTTACAGCTTCTATCCTACTGAACAGGTACCGGTGTACAGGGGGAGGGGATCCGGCCGTGAGTGCAGAGCCATCTCTGCGTGAGTGCTATTTACGACAGTACAAGTACTCCACAGCGACTCTAGGGGTCACTGTTTGACAAAAACGGAAATCCTGCATAGTGCTGCTTTAAAGACTTAAGATTTCAGCATTGATATATGACCACTGATTTAAAACTTCTTGACCATATATTTCAGAGCCAATCAGGTTTTAACACTCAGGCTGTACAGGAAGAGGAAGTGACTCTGCTGCAGGCTGTCTTTAGGGCTCATCTCAAACGCAGCACTCTGAGGATGGACAGGTGATTTAGATACATAGTGTATACACTAAATTACAACTCCACTACACTGAAATACTACATACAGTCAAACCAAAAATGATTCAGACACCAGATATTATTATTTATTTATTTTTACTAGTGGGTGCAGGACACTATAGTTCATTTATAGTGAGGCTAGCTAAATAAAGTAAACTTTGACAAATTATGCCCAAATATTCTTCATACAGTGGACTACCAGTAAAATTAGTAAAAATTGGGGACCAAAGATTATTCAGACACTTTGACCCGACCATGTTTTGCTTAAAGGAGAACTCCGGCGCAAAATGAACCTTAGGTCTAATTACACATTGTTACCTAGTCAACCGTTATCTGAGATTTGTTTTCATGATTATCGAATGTAAATAGTGCAAACAGCAGGCTTGGATCGGCGTTCGTAGATCGACTGGTAGAGACTGTTTTTCAAAGATGGCTTCTGCCTGTATACGCGAAGTTGACTGTATGTATAAAATATCTTCTTATTAAACTGTCTGGACACTGACAAAGTTCTCAATGCTTCGGTTTGAAGGTAGGGACCCTCATTATGCTACCGTGTTAGTGTGGGGCTATTTTCAGCCTTGTTAGTGGTATTAACAAGCGATTTTTATTTGTCATTACACTATGCCCAATATACTAGCGTTATACTAGCTTTATAGGCTAAACTGTTTTTAGAGATAAAACTATTTACATTCGATAATCATGAAAACAAATCTCAGATAACGGTTGACTAGGTAACAATGTGTAATTAGACCTAAGGTTCATTTTGCGCCGGAGTTCTCCTTTAAGTGTTTTTCTTTAATTCCCAATGCGACCTTTTTACACCACAGACTGAACAAAATTAAGCATTGCTTGGTAATTGGTTGACCTAAATTGGTATTATCTAACTGTGTATTTAAATTTAACAGCTGACAGCTATTCAACCTAATTCATTTGTGAGACAGTCTAACAGAAGGATGTCCAAAACTAGTGAAATATCAACTGATTTGATAAATTATCTTGTCATACTTTATTACCATTTTCTAAACTATAGCGAATAAACTGTGATAATGTGAAAAAAATGTAATGTGTCTGAATCAATTTTGTCTTGACTGTATACTACACAGGTTTTGCATATTTCCATATTTATGCACATTTATATTATATCAATTCCATTAAAAAAAATAAACCTTGCACAGATGTGCTGAGTAGAGAATGCAAGAATGCAGTCAGAACAGTTGGTTTGAGTGAATATGTTTTCATGCATGGCCAGGTGGTCTCCTGACAGACATACGTTGACTTGACTTTGCAGGGCGTCTACAGTGACACAGTCTGAATCTTTCATTCATCAGAAAAAGCGGTATCTCTCCACCCCTCCACTACCGCCCACAGGGTCCCCACAGGCCATGTTTACCAACAAAACGCAAACCTCAGGTGATTATTAATCTTTAATAATGTGATTTGTTCTCACTGAAGAGATTGATACGACCTCATGTTAGTATTCTTATTTGTTAATCTAAGATCAATAAGACGTTTAATGAACCATAAATACGTATTGTAAACAAAGATATAAACCTGGCCATCCCGGCCAAATCTGTTATACTGACCTCTCTTTAAAACCACTGTAACTTGTATTGGATGTTTTTTGATTATATTCTTTTAGGTGTAACTCAGAATAATAGCGAGGAGACTGAAGAGAAACTAAATCCTGCTTATAATGATGAGCTACATGACAAGAGATCAATACCAGGTTAGAATATATATAACTCATTCCTATTACACTGCCACAAGGTGTGGGTCAGTGAGATTTTTTTTAAAGAAATGAATACTTTTATTCAGCAAGGATGTTTAAAAGTGACTCTAAAGGTATTTAATAATGTTCCAAAAGATTTCTGTTTCAAATAAATGCTGTTCTATTCATCAAAGATTCCTGAAAAAATGTTTTATGATTTCTTTAAAAATAATAATAAAAGACACTAAATAAGATCATATGAAATATTTCTTCAGCATATTCAAATGATTTCTGAAGCATCATGTGACACTGAAGAGTTATTATTCTGAAAATTCAGCTTTGCCATCACAAGAATCAATTACATTTTAAAATACAAAAGTGGTATTTTAAATTTTAATAATATTTCACAATAGTACTCTTTTCGCTGTAAATAAATGCAGCCTTGACTTACTGACCTCAAACTTTTTAATGCTAGTGTATGTCGGAAAACACCAATATAATAATAATGAATAATCTGTGATAAACTACAATTAAGCTTACAGTATAATCATTCATCTATTTAATGTAATGCATGACATATACGATTTTGTTTTGTTGGTAATAAGAAGACCGGAAGATCCACCAACAGCAACCAGCCACTGCGATTCCAAAGACCACTGATTCAGACGACTCTGATGACATCATCGTGTCTCCTTCAAGGCCACTGAGAAAAAGAGAAAAATGCTTAAGTCCTTTCAATGCTAATGACTTGATTTAGCTCTTTGTTGTTGTTTTTTTACAGTTTGGACCTCAGATGGTTTCATTAATAATGCTTTTTCTCTCTTAACTTGGAACACACATTATTACATGAACAATTTAAAAGGGAATTAAAACAAACAAACTGTCATTTATATGGGCAATAATAACTGTACATAGAAGAACACATCATGGATGATAGATCATTATGGCTTTGTGATTTTACACTTTATTGTTTTGCTACGGTCACATTCTTTAGACTTCTAGGAACTGAACCTTCAAATAAGGTAGACATTTCAGAAGTCGTGTCTTCATCTCCAAAAGTGCCTTGTGTTGGAAGATCATCTTTAAACGAGGATCAGGGATTTAATATGCTTCATATACTTTTCATTTCGGATAAATATACACATGACACTAAGCAACATGTCTTATAAAGTATATTTAAGCCATTGTGTGCATTTAAGGTACATCTCTGATCTATACAAAAGTACTGTGAATCTCCACAAACACATTGCTGTATAAGAGAACTTCAAGTTCAGATTGGGGAAAAATGACAGTAAATGCTGTTAAATGTTGTTAGTGTGATTCATGTTATTACAGACGAATCTGTATTGAACCAATAATGGCACTGAAAAAAATTGATGCTGTTTTCTCTTTTCATTGTCTCTTTAAGACTGACTTTGCTCTAAGAGCTCATTATTTTTGTGCCATTGCCATTTTCCTTTATTAAAGATTTGTTTTCCTGAACTTTTGTCCTTTGTGCTAAGAATGTAAAAATACAATTTCCTCATTTAGTCTAACTTCCTATCTAGCAATGGCTACCTGATTGTTAAATTTAAGAAATTAACATAAATACAGTACAATTATGTGATCTATTTTGTTTTTTAATACATTGGAGGCACAAACCCCAGTATATCATATATCAGTGGTTTTCAACATTTGTCCCCAACAAGATTTGAATGTCTGATATTCCTAGTTTCTTTGAATTAAATTTCAGGACTCCTGAAGCTTTAAGAGCTGAATGTTCCTCAAGCATCCCAATCTTTTTAAACAATGATTCTTTCCCAGTTGTAGTGTACTGGATAAGGTTTAAGGATGATGATTTTTAAAACAATTTTTTTATTCAAAATGACAGATAATTCATTGCTTCATTCATTGCATAGGTTGGAGAAGTTTTTATTGAAGTGTTTGTAAAGCTTTAACATAAGATTTATTATGAAATCTCAACTCATTTATTTTTTGACCAGTGAGCATCTATTAGAAATGCATATTAGTGTTAAGTGTGCTATTATTGTACAATAAATAGGCCTACCAGAAATACAACTACAATTGTACAGTAAAAATAATCTTACTTAGAATGGGCCATTTCTACAGTTGTACTGTAAAATTACAGTAGAAATAATATGTATGTTTACTATAAATATGTGACTAAAATGACATGTCCGTATGAAACATTTTACAGTAAATTAGAGTATTTCCTGTGAAATTCAATTAAAAAAGAATTACAGGTAGGATTTTTCAGTGCTGTGATATAGTAGATTTGTATAAACCTTCTTTTGCTGTAAATTCAATAGTCACACACTGCATTAGTCTTTTCCTTTGTCTTTTGGGTTGCGATTAATCGATTTGATAGCACTAAATAGAACCTAAAAGTAGCCTACTCTTGTATATAACAATCTTGCTAGCAACTAAAATTGCCAGTTAGTTACTGTAAATTTTACAGCTGACATGGATCAGCTAAATCTCGAACCACCGGGAATCACCCGGACAGAGGAGAGTCTTCTGGCAAAGAGAGAGCACGCTTGTAATAAAACATTGACATTGGCTTGGCTTTTTGGAGATAGCTAGAACTGAGGGATTTGAAATGTAAAAGCGACGCAGAGATGGCGGCGGTTTTAATTCTCAACAGGTAAGCTATTTTATTGAACAGATAAATTCCCTAATGTAGCTCTATAACAGAGTTCATTGTAAAATATCAGGCTATCTATCTATTGTGAAGGGTCATATTCCGCACAGTTATGCACCCAACCAAACAATGTTCTTCTGCAAAATACATGCAGTTTTGTCTTTTAACCGCTAGAGGGCCAAAAGTTAAATGTACAGGAGTGCACATGAATAAAAAATACTTCATAATTAGCCTACATAAAAATATGAATGGTCAATTTTGATTTCATGGTGACTTTAAACAGTTATTAATACAAATTTTAATGATTTTTTTTTAGGTGTTTAAAAATCGAAATCAATCAGGTAAACTGCATTTAGAGGTGAAGTTGTCTAAGGGGTTGCAAAAAAAGAAAACATATAATATAATATTTTGTTAAACCTCCTGGACGTTTTGTTGACCATTTGTTGAAAAGACACAAAAAATAACACATTGTGCTATTTGGAAGATCATTTTGAACATGTCTTTGCCCAATAAAATATGTTAAAAAGACCAATCACAAATTAACATATGCAAATAATTGCTAGAAGCTGCGCCCAATTGGATCTTGGATCAACTGATAATGCAAATTTAGAATCGCATCATTGTAGTCGGGGAAATTTTCAGACTATAACAATAACATATAGCCTAACGTATAATTTGTATGTATATATTTAAGTATAAAAGTATTCGTTTATACTTATTACGTTTATAATACGTATAACGTTTATAAAAAAAACGTACTTTTACTTAATAAAAGTTTTAGACGTTACCCTTTTTATAACGTAAACAGCTAACGTATTTAAACGTTTATAATACTTATATAATACTTATGTAGCATAATTAGTATAATTAGCATTCGCATAACCTTTGAGTTAAGAAAAACGAATTATTAAAAATCAGTAAAATGGCCAAAAATTGTGGATAAGAACAATAAAAATACAGTATTGCTAAGTAAGTGATGATTTGAATTTGCATCATTTGGCCACCAGAGGTCTGTAAGCACACTGATCCATTTGAGGATTGAAATAGCTGGACGTGGATGATTGACAATCACGCCCGTTTGTAGTCTTCTCACAAATCACTTTCATCCTTGTAATGCGTGATATCATCGAGTATTTTATACATCTCAATTTTAACGCAACAGAAATGAACAAGCGCTGAACACAGGCGTTAACTGGAAGAAAGCAGTGCGGGACAGCCTTAAACAAAAGCGCATTGGACATGAAAGGCGTTTAAAGCTCTGGCTTCAGTTCCTGTGAGCGTATCGCTGGATAACATGCAGACGGCAGTGACGCAGGGGCAGCGTTCGTTCGTTCGGTTCATGCTGACTGACTGACTGACTGCTGAGCCCAGATAAACCTGCTGTTGTTGCTTTTCGCCCAAAACATCGAAGGACAGGAGCCATTTGTCTGTTGTTGAGATCATCGGAGGTATTTTTTCTGGAACTATGGTTTAGGCTGATAAAGGGTAAGAATGGATTCCCTATAACAAAAGCCTGTCTGTGCAAATTGCGGTTTAAATCCTAGTATATAAACAATGTATGTTAATTATTAAATTTAAGAGCAAATCTGTATTATCTAATTAAGAACAATGGGTGAGTGTTAATCACAAAATTCTAGGGAAATCTAGCCATTTGTTTGCTTGGTTGTCTTTGGTGCAGATTTTAACCCCTGCATAACTGCAGGTAACGTTAGCTTGTAAAGAGACACTTTAAATGCATGTGATGCAATGCGACGTGATGAAACAGTCGAAGTCTAGAATCGGCTGCTGAATGCATCATTGTGTCTTTTACAGTCCGAGATCTGGATGAACACTATGGCTGCAGTGGTGAATTATTCTCCGCCGTGGTGGGTTAACCTTTTCCATCGCCTTCCACACTTAAACCTACAGTTTCAGCTGACCAGCAGCGATTTTCGCCCGGAGGACACGGAATATCAAAAGGTAGGTCGAGTTCAAGGGCTACATGATTTGGAAATATTATGAGACATCATCAAAATCGACGTGTGCGTGCGGAGCGGCAACATCAAAGGTTTTTCTCAATCATGACGTCACCCTCTGAAGGCTTTTACTGCAGTGTGTCAACTAGTACTTTTGAGGTACTAGATTGTGAGTTGTGCCATTCAGAGTGTCACATATTTGACAGATAGTTATAAATAATAAACACAAAATGTGCAATTCATACGTAATTATGATAAAACATCACAGAGTTGTCCAAGAATAGACAATGGTAATGCAGTAAGACAATACTTGTCTATTTAAACCAGTACAAATACTTTATTTAAATAAAGCACTCCAGCTGATTCCCTACCAGGCTCAACATTTTTGCCCAGTCTTTTTTTTACTGATGGCTTTGTTGATTAGGTAGCTTGATCAGTACTAACCAGTTTAAACTACGATGGAAATTCCTGCTGGTGAAGCTGGGACATCTTTTACGCCTAAAGAGTGGCATTGATTTGCAATCGGTTTGAATGACTTCATCTTACTGAGCTTCTCGTGTTGCACATGAGAACAGACTGTCCAATCACTGAGCAGTTACTGTTCAGAAATGATGTTATGCTTAGGAGCTGTGTGGAGTCAGTGTTTGTCTATTTACCCGCCCACAGAAATAGATATCAACACCCAGTAGGAGACATTATGAGGATGTGCATAGGATATATAATGCATTTCTACATGCATATGCAACATTTGGTCATATGTAGAGGCATTTAAGGTTACTGTATCTCAGTCACAGCAATATTAAGGGAATGCTGCCAAAAAATGGTACAAGTATAACTGTGCATGCAGTTTCCCTTTCAGATGCAAAATTTATAAGGGGAGAGTATTTAAATGAATCATGCAAGGTGATTTACTTAGGTTTGCGCTTGTCAATTTACTGATATTTGCGCCATTATTTACACAGCCCCAAAAAAGCACGTTTTAAACCAGATGCTAATTTGCGCTGCTCTTGGTAGATTGCGTTGGTCATCATGGAAATGATCCGGCTGAGTCTTTGTGTTCTTTAATTTGCGCGTTGTGAGTAGATCACGCGCAGAACTTTTCACTCCCATCTGAGTTTTTATGGTATTGCACTCACGCTAATTTATAGTTTAGTAAATCTGGCCCATAGACTTTTTTCAGACAGAGATGAAGGTCACAGAGACACTTTTCAAGTTCAAATGTCATGAAGGTTTGTTTACTGTCCACTTCATAAAATGACGTTATTTTGTCAAAGCAGCCATTCTCCAGAGGACCAGTAGGAAATAGCATCCAGCTGCGTGAAATTGCAGCCATGGTTGCCTTTGCTCACCAGCTATAGCTGTCAGTGACCTCATCCAGAGCACTCCCATGCTGTATGGTAAAATGGCCAAACAATAGTCACTTGTTCCCAAAAAGAAATATCTGCAATTAAAAAGATACTCAGGGCTGCAGTTATAGAAATTGATCTCTCAGGTTCAAACGTTGTTTGGAGAAATCGGATGAATGCAATACAGTGCTGCCATGTACCATCAACTATCGTTTAAGAGAAATGGGCTCACTTACCAGTATCACTGCATATTCAGTTGAATACAAATACAGTTTCTGCTGTGAATAATTTTCCAAGGTCAAGACATATTATATGTGATTACATTTAACTCAGTGCTGAAAGACGGGTGAAACTTGTACTGCGCTTGAATGTGAAGGTACTAACATCGTGGAAAGCATCAATAAGGCCTGGTTTTCCTGGGATGTTTGTAGATGAGATTGGCCTAGTTGGTTGGCTTGGTAGGTACGAGGTCACAGGAAAGCCACGGGGTATGTGGGGGTAAATCTGTATGAGATGAGGTCATGACAAGCCCTTGGGTCTGTCTGGCCTGGCAGAGCAGAAGGGAAGAGAGCGAGGGAGGGAGGGAGGGAGGGAGGGAGAGGAGAGGAGAGGAAGAGCAAGGGGGGTTGGGTGTTGTTATTCTCTTTTTTTATAAAAGATGAATGCACCCCTTTCTGTGGGCTTCTGTGAAAATGGGGTTTAATCCCTAATGTATCCCAGAGTGCTTTGCCGGCATCCTTTTGTCAAATGGACACACAGTCTTTATGCCAGTACCCCTTCGCTCTCATTCTCACACTCTTACACATGCATGCTGGGACATATGGGGGTCTGCACTCGTTCACACCGACACATAGGGAGAGCGAGCAAACTACTTGATTTGAATATCACATGCCAGTACAACAGTTCTAAATGGAGAAATATACCCTGTAAATATCTTCTATGGAAGTTGCGCCCCTTTTTTCTTTCTTTTCTTGTGTAGAAACTGATAAATTTTTTCAGGATTCTTTGATGAATAGAAAATTCAAGAGAAAACAGCATTTATTTGAAAAATAATGAAATCCACTTTTTGTAACATTGCAAAAAAATGTTTTTACAGTCATTTTTGATCACTTTAATGTGTCTTTGGTGAATAAAAGCATTAACTTGTGTAAAAAAAAAAAAAAAAAAATCTTACTGACCCCAATATTTTTCAACGGTGGTGTGTAATATACTGTATATTATAGACTGATCATTAGCAGATCACTCGTTTATTTATTAGTCACCCATTTGGTGATTTGAGTGCACACAGAGAAAGAGGTGTCTCATTTCTGTACCTAAAGGTACATTTGCCACAAAACTGCTAATTTTTTGACCCCCAGTTTTTCACCTTTTTATTCACCTTTTTGCAGTTCACATAAATAGTCCTGCATTGTGAAATATTAATTTTAAAAGTACAAATATTCTACCTAGTCTTTCATAGTTATTAATATGAGGTCATTACTGAATGTAATACTGTAATACAGTATTTTTTTTAAATTAATTTTTAAAATGTTTAAAATTAAAGTTTTAGGTGGAATATAGCATTTTTTCCCTAAACATACACCTTTCTAAACCAGTTTTTTCAACATGCCTAACTTCCTTTTAAATGGGAAAGGGACAAAGAGGGCAAACATGCACCCATATGAACTCGGGCACACACATAGCCAGTGCCATTTCAACATTATTCAGCCTTCAAGGCCTCCCTTCAACCACCTTTAAAACGGAGCTTACATCCTGGCACTGAGAAGACGACATATTTGCACTTTTGGATGGAAACCATCTCTGTGGCGGAGGGTTCGCTTGGATCTCAGGGCACTCAGTACAATTGTTTGTTTGGGTCTGGCCCGCCAGTAGCTGCCAAAACATGTCAGCACTTTGTCCTCTTTTCTCGGTACTTTAATGCCTCATGGACCTTATCCACAACCACACTGGGTTTTCTTATGTCTTTCTATTCAAAAGATCATCGTGATTGTCCGATTCGCTAATGATGAATTATTCATTTGAATCAGTTCTTTGTAATGATTTGGTCAAATCTATTCACAAAGTGCTTGTAGTTCACTTGACTTCAAGAGTTGTTACAATTTGTGTAACTTTATTGAGAACATGAATATAAACACTAGTATTTGACTAAATATTTAGGACTGTTTCACAACAACACAATAACATCACCACACAGGGACTTCTGGGAATGCCGTTAAAGGGATAATTCACCCAAAAACAAAAATGTACTCTCATGTCACTCTAAACTTGTATGATACTTTATGGTCTGTGAGGATATTTTCCAAGAACTGTTTTTGTTCATTCAATGAAAGATAATGAGATCAGACACTGGCCTTCACTGGCTGCAGTGCCGCTGCTAGCCATTTTGGTGCCCTAAGCATAATTCCTTTATGATGCCCCCCCGCCCCCCCTAAAAAAAAAAAAAAACATTTTAATTTAGGATTTTCATTTAGGGGGGCTAAGCCCCCAATGAGGGTATGATTTATAAAAAAAATGCAAACATTAAAAAGTAACACTTTAGTTTAGGGTCTAATGCTTACTATTAACTAGTTTCATTACCATGCAATGGCATGGTTTTATAATCACTGGGGTTCCGAATTTGAGGCAGGTTAGTTAGGGGTGTTCGGGGGAAATTTTGGATTTTTCTGAACTACAGATGTGCATTTTAAGATGTTGTGAAGGCAAAAAAAAAAAAATATCGATAACAACAGCTTTAAAACCATGTCAGTGGGCAGCTGATTATTTTTCTCTCCTCATCAGCATCACACTCTTTTTCTCTTTGTTTTTATCTTGCCCTGTCTCTTCCCCTCCTAAAGTTGGCTTTTTTTTAATTTTCTAAAGGTTACAATTTGTATTTTATTCTCAATATGTACACATTCATTATTAATCCTGTGGCTAACATGATGAAAACGGCTTTGTTCATGTTTCTTGTCCCCTCACAATGACAATAGCCTAAACTATTACACTAGGCTACATGTTACATAGGCCTATTTTCAGTTCAAAATAGCGAAATTAGACAAAACTATATTAGTTTGCCTAATTATTTTTTGTCATTCGTTTAACATTTATGACCTAAAAAAAACTGTCAAATAAAGTTAAGTTTAGCTACTTACATCTTATCTCGCACTTGACCGTACACTGAAGCGTCGAGTTGCACTGTTAAAATTCGCGCTCAGCGTCTGTGAACATAAAGCCCGCCTACTTTGATTTGATTGGTCATCTCAAATATTCTGACATTGACGAGCAGTGACAGACCAATGAGGCTCAGATGAACACACACATGACACACACACACACACACACCCTGTCCTGTGTTTCTGACGTGCTCTCTGTCTCTGCTCGGCGCCGCTGCGGAATGAAGAGGAAGAACGCGCTGAATCTGATTATAACAAGAAGTTTGATGATTGGTTTTTCATTAGGCTATTTTTGGTGCCCCCTCAGCACTTGGTGCCCTACGCACAGCGCGTGATGCGCGTGGTGGGAGCGGCGGCGCTGACTGGCTGTTATTTGTATTTACAAAAAAACCCACAAAAAAAACATAGCTATTTAAATTGGTTTATTTATCTAAATTATGATATTAAATCATATTTTTTCTTTCTTTTTTGTAAACCAAAATTTCAACCACATTGTTGCCAGGTAG